GAACAGAACGGTGATGCTAGAGCAGACCTTTGCTTGTCCTGAGGGGAAGATTTGGGCGGAAAAGGCTCTGAAAGTAACAAAAAAAGCTTTCCTTTCTATCATTACATTACACTGGAAGTGACTGTTTCAGCTTTTTAGTGAGAACCCAAATATGGTTCTTTTTCATTTTAAAATATCTCCATTAATAAGGCTCTTTTACAGCTATCTGTATTACTGGTGGGGAAGCAAAGTTTAGCGAGCTAAGTACCTACCTTATTTATTCATGTTTTCCAGCAATTAATCATTTCTGTGGTGAGTCTGTGACACAGTTTCTTATATGAAAACTTTCAATAATTGATATTAAAAAAACCTTGGGTTGCTACTGTACTCGTTGGCACTTTCCATACCATAATGAAGATAAATGGAGAAAAGAATAAGACTGAGAGAGTCATAAGACTACCTCTTGTCTTTACATTTCTCCGATGAGAAACTTAATAGGAGTAATGACTTCCATAATATGGAACCGGCAGTTACCTGTTGCCAACTATGCATTTAAACACATTAACAACCTACTAAAGTAACATCCAATCATTAAATAAGAGGAACAGTTAGTCTGTTTGAATAATGTTGTGGTTTTCATATGCTAGAGCAGCTGCTCAGATTCTGTCTTTGGAGGGGTGAAGTCTGGCAGGTATTATCTCTTGAAATCATCAATAGTTTGTGGAATTTGGAAAGCAAACGGATAAATTACAAGAATTGTTCAGGGATCTGCCAGTCATTGAAGATACCAAAAAAATGTGGTGTTGTCTAAGAACTTTTCATGAAGCAGTTCCCCAAAATGATTTTTATATGTTACTTCCAAATTAAAGGGATCAGTTGATACATCGCTGACCGTAAATTATGCTGTATACAAATGTCATTTTACAGAACATTTGAGAATATTCCATTCATTCACTTTGAATGTTTTCAATGTTTTCAACATCTTTGTATAATTCAGTGTTGCAGTGAGCCAGAGAGCGTATCTACAGAAAATGGGCCCTGGAAAGGACACCTACACACAGAGGGCAAGGTTTAGGAACACCAGTTCACCTGGATAGAAAGTCTTTAAACTTTGGAAAGAAAAAATATGTGTCCGAATGGGGAACATACAAACTCCGCACAGAAGATATCCTTTGTCACAATCTGACTTAACCACGGTGCAGTGAGGCCGCAAGGTTACCCACCTTGATGCCCATGTGAGATACAGTTTATTATGGATGAGAAATATTTTTTACATCATTTAAAACATATTACAGGAGGGCATCATTAATTTGCTCCTGTGGAGGACCGGACGTAGAAAAGGTACAAAATCATGTGGTACGAAAGGTAAGACATCAGCTTCTCACCAGGAGCTTAATAACTTTAAATGGTACATGAGTAGTTTTTAGAGATTTAATCCAAAATTGTACTTTATGACTATCACATAACAAATCAAAAGTGAGCTTGATGCCTGAATTACCTCCTCTCATTTATACTATATCTTCTTTAGGCAAATTTTCCATCAGATGAAAAATGCTGTAAAAATGGTACTGAAATGATCAAGCCTTTCAGGTCTGAGTAGGGTTAGGGTCACAACTAACTGCAGTTGCTCTTTAAATGACACAATTAAGAGTGTTTTCCCATTTGAACAGGGTTACTTCCAACTTTTGATCTGATTCAGTTTTGGATGACAATTACTGAGCAGTGCATACAATGTAAGCAGCCAAAACTCTCCAAAAAAACAAATTGAAAATAGGACCAAATTTTCACTCATGCTAAGCTTACTTAGCACAATCCAGCACTGAGCCTACAGATTATCCATTATGTGTAGGAACCCCAACAATTCTGCAGTCTGTCTCTGAACCCCTAGAATCATAACATTTTAAAATGCTTCTAAAGACCCAGAAAGAAGAGTCTAAAATAACCAAAACCACGTAACAAATCTCTCAGACCTTGATCCTTTTCAATAATGTATCGTCTTTAGGCAAGTTATCCATTAGGTGAAAAATGCCTTAAAATGGTACTCAAGTGATCGGGCATATCCGGCTTCAGTAGGGTTAGGGTTAAAAGAACCATTAAAAGTTGACTACAGTTGTACTTCTACTTCCACTTTAAATGGCAAAATAAAAAGAGTCTACCCAGTAGAACAGGATTTCCTCCAACATTTGATCTGACTTATGAGACGTATCCTATTTTTAATAGTCTACCCATCTTGCAACATAGATAAGTGAAATTCTGCTGAACATTTTCTTCAACCGTATTTGTCTTTCAATTGCATTTGTTTTAGTAAGTTACACCCGCCTTGAAACGCCTTACCAAAACTAAAGATTGAGTGGCAAATAATAGTGTTTGTGAATTCCCAGCTCCAATTTCCCCAGTTTTTAACAGGGCAGCAGGGAGGAATAATACTTTAAAAAATGAAAGGCAATGAGATGAAGCAAACTCATAAAAGAATGGAATCTGTTTATAGAGCTTTTACTCTAATATTCGACAGTAGTGACACATCAATTATTCAGTATGTATAGCCACAAGCCTACTGTTATTCCGATCAATGAAGCTGTAATATCAGGCTTTAATAAAGGCCCTGATAAAATCTAGCTTCAGCAGTGATAAACTGTTCACCACTAATGTGCATAAAGAATTTGCTGAACAGTCTGTATACACAGTCCCGATAATATGTTCAGCCTCATGAAATACTGTATAGAAACAACAAAATATTATTTGTAAGCTTCACAATAATTCTTCAATTATTCACAGTGTTTCCATACCTTTGTGCTTTTGGAAAGTGTTTAAAGTCTTTTCTTTGGAATTTGGTGAGGCAATCACAGAAATGCTGGTCAAAAACCTGAAATCCCATAATTTGATGGCCCCATAAAAAAGTACATTTTCATACTTCATGCGTGATAGCCTGAGAAATGGGGATGTGTTTCCTGTTGAACTGTCATCCTTTTCTGTGCTTGAAAGGCAAAAACAGTCACTCAAGCCAGATAGACTTTTAAAGATTTTCCTCTCCAGACATAGATCTTTAGTAAAGCAAGATTAATGCCCAGCAATCCAGTTTAAACATAATCAGTTAGAATTCGGAATTGTGTCTCTATATAGCTGGAGCCCCACACCAACATACTTTAGATAAGATTAATATAAATTGGTATTTATTCATCTGCATTAAAATCTGCTATATAATGAGCCCTACAGTATACACTTCGCTTTTTTAAGCAATAAACGTATTATGTTTTGTCCTATTTTCCTATTAAAAATGTAATTGACACATAATCTTTCACTGTTTTTTTTTCTTTTGTATTGTAGGCCTTTTGTATTAGTGAAGTAATTGATCACTTCCACATGTGATCTACTGCGCATTAATGTAGCTGTTGGCACAGTACGGCAGTCCCTCGGCTTGCAGGTGGGCGCCTTACAACTCTTCCGGATGAAGTCGTGTATAAAGCGACGTGGGAACCCAAGTAATGAAAAGTGCTGCACAAATTGAAAGCAATTAAGGAAATAGTATTACCAACGGAAATCATAGAATGACATGGGGATGTGCAGAGGATTGTTTTCTGATTCTGTTTTCTTAGGTCTCTCCATTGCGCAAACAAGAAACAGATCCTGACAAACTTTGTTTCCACTAACACAGTAGTTACTTGATGATTTTATTGTTTTCATTGCATAATGCCTTTCCTTTTGGACTCATCCATGCTTTCCCCAAATTTGGCTTTAGTCCCGATAGGAAATTAATAGCCTATCCTGTAATCTGACAATAAATATTGTTCTTGTTGGTCTACATAACGTAAGACTCATCAAATATTTAACACATGGCGTTTCATAGGAAGGAAGATGTCATCGCATTATCCCGATCTTTAAAAACTGACTAATGATTCCTTCCTCTCTTTCTCCCTCATTAGGTTCAAAGCTTTAAGATAGAGCCGGTATTTTGATTTCGCTGGCTGTAATGCTTCTGCTTTGATGAATAATAAATAAATATAATACGCGTTTATGGTGTCTGGAAAGAGAAGACGGGGTAAAACCATGAAAATCAGTTATAAATAAGAACATGACATCACCCTGTTAATGATCACTGAAGATGGATTATTGAATTGATTCGTTGCCCTTTTAACTGGCCTGGATGTCCAGCAGTCGGCTGTTCCGTTTTGATATCCGATACTCTTTCAGTAGGTCAAAAGCGGAAAAATACAAGAGCTGATAGCGAAAGGTTCCTGTGTCAGAAGGCTACTGTCCTATGTCAACCTACAATGCTAGTGCCGGATGTAGAACAACTTTAGAAAAGGGGCCTTATCGATTATCTAATCGATAAATTAGGCTTCGATGCTGTCTAAAAGCTTCCTCGTTTCCTTCCTAACAAGGCTTTACAAGCAGGAGACAGAAACTGGAGTCTGTTTTAATTACACAAAGGTTGTTTAGAAAAAAGATGTATATTTAATGATCTGTAAATACCACGAACCGTTATTTTCCATTTTCTCGATTGCTACGAATGTAAAAATGTTTTTGGAAATAACTCGAATGTGTCTAGAGACTCTCAGAGCGTGTGACTTAAAAGAAGATGATACAAGAGCTAGTAAAAGTAGTTTTTTCGAAGTAATCTTAGCTAAAGTCGTTTGAATGGGAAGTTGAGTGTGTGACTAGTCTTCCTATATTTATGTTTAAACTCGAAAGGTGCAAGAGTGGATTCCAAGGAAAATCCAAGGAAAACAACTTCAATGGAAACTTGCTACAGTGACCATGCATTTTTAGATTTCATTTTTTTTTTCAATAAAACACAAGATAGTGTTTATTTCACGCGTGCCATTGGTCTCGTGTCCAAACGCACCTCGGTCACCCAAGGGAGGAAGGGTTATTTTATATGGGCAGTTTACTCTTAAGCAATGGCGAACTTTACACAGGCGATGCATTATGCTAAGGGGAGGGATTCCTATTACTTCAGGCTGGTGAGAAAACAATGCAGCTCCCAGCGGAATTCCTGAAGGCTTTGCCTGTCCTTTTAAAGCGAGAGAACAAGCGAGCCTGCGCCTGCGAGTCAGTCTGTCCTGCATGTTTGCTCAATCTGGGGCGCTAGGCGCTATTGGTCTTCTGTCGAATATAAACGGGCTGAGAACTTTTCTTTTTTTTTAAACTATAGTATATAGAAGGTAAGATGTCCTTTTTTCTCTTGAAATCAATGCACGATGCGCAGTGTAAGTCATACATTATATTGTGTTTTTCTGCACAGCTTGTCATTCTAATAAAAATCCTAAACTTGCGTAAAAACGTAATCCCATTAATGCTAAAATTATTCGTTTTTTAGCAGTTCTTTATGTCTGTTTATGTTTTGTTTTATATCATAAAATGACTTCTGTACAGTCCATTTCATAATGCTTTTAAATGGCCTCTTTTAATTTTGTAAAGACATTGAAATATATAAATAACTCTTAATACCAACTTAAACTCTGTTTAAATGTCGAACAGACACTCGACAATATTACTATATTTTACAAATATCGTACTCTGATATTTACTTAACACATTAAAAATATTATTGACAACATTTGTGTTATTTTAAGACACTTATCGGAAAAGGTGTTTGAAGCGTATTTTATCGTGCGGAGGGTGGCCCGTTTATTTCAACTTGTACATGTCCGGGCATGGTAGCGGTACTACAGCAAGCAGTATGCCAATTATACATCGCACGCTTTTGACTTCAGATTTATCTTTTTAACGAAGCGTTTATGAGTGAAGTATTGAAGCAACGCTTCAAGAAAAGATTTCGATAAAATACTTAAAATTGCGAAGTGAAGCACTTTCCAGTAACCTCCATTGTTAAATTTCGCAGACGCTCGGTGTGTCATATCCCTTCCTATTCCCACTGGGTCTAACTGAAGGAGCTCAGGAACTAATTTCCTTTCGCATTTTCCCACAGACTGAAGAAGCAAATCCTATTGGGATTATATGAATGTGGAAAATTACTGCACTGTTTCAGACTGGGAAATCTAACCAGAACTGCTGACCTACAGTACTAACACGAGCTTCATTTAACTGTCACAACTAGTTACTGGTAAGTGTAATCACAGAAAGAAAACGTTTCTTCTTCCGAGGTATTTTCTTTGCTAGCTGAATTTTCATTAATTGTATTATTCAAACCATTGCAAAACTCAAGGGGTCACAGCACGGAAAAAGCGAGCTTGGTAACGTCTTATATTAAGCAACAGCTAAAAGCAGGCTGTTTGAACTTTTGTGAAGTGTAACTTAACATTTTTATAAAAAAAAAGATAGGGTGCAGGGTGAAAAGGAACTTGAGTACCTTGTTGTCCTAAGTTTCAGTCTGTGAAAAGGGGAAAGGCAGATCTGACAATATAAAACCACACCAGAGAACACAAAGATAATCTCTGCATTGTAAACACAAACCTGAACTGCCCTCCAAAGGTAAATCTATTGCTGATCAGAGCCAGGGCAATTTACCCAGTAAACATGTGGCTGTAGCCAGCAGCCGTATCACCCTGCAGCTCTCAACTGGCAGCCCACTGAAGCTAAGCAGGGTTGACCCTGGTCAGTACCTGGATGGGCTACCTTCTGGGAAGCTATGGTTGCTGCTGGAAGTGGTGTAAGTGGGATCAATGGGGGGCGCCCACCCTGCGGTCTGTGTGGGTCCTAATGTCCCAGTATAGTGGCTGGGACACTCTACTGTAGTGGGTGCCTTCTTTCGGGATGAGACATTAAACCGAGGTCCTGACTCTCAGTGGTCATTAAAGCATTTCTCGATAAGAGTAGGGAGTTATCCTGGTGTCTGGGCCAAATTTACCTCCTAGGCTTTTACCGTGGCCTCCAAATTGTCCCCATGTACGATTGGCTTGCTCTTGCCCTGTGTTGGATTGGCACCCCATCCAGGGTGGACCCTGCCTTGGCACCCCATCCAGGGTGGACCCTGCCTTGCGCTCGTTGCTTGCCGGGTAGGCTCTGGCTTCCTGCGACACCGTAGGGTATAAAGCGGTTTGGCAAATGACATGACTTGACATGACCTGTGGCTGTAGTTGTATCATTGTGTCTGTAGAACAATCGAAATCTGTTGCCCATGAAGGGTTTGCAGATGACATACTGATCTTTTTTACCATTTGGCTCAGTTATAGTTTGGTGTCGCCCCCCCGCACACACACACACAGACAGCAGTGCTTTGTGTTAATGGCAGCTCTGTGACCTCCAGCAGGGCGGAGATGTCCGAAAAGAAGGCCTGGAGTGCCGACGCACGGCCCAAGTGTAACCGCAGCAGGAGCGCGGACAGCTACGCCTGGAGCAGCAAGAAACGTTCGCGAGGAGCCCGCAACGAGCCCGCCCCGGGCGCCGCGGAGGGGGAGGAGCCGGGGCACGTGGGCCGCTCGGCTTCCTGCCCCCGCAGGCACAGGGAGACGAGGTGCAGCTGCTCCCCGGCCGGCGACGGCGACTGCGAGCGGCCCTCCTGTCGCAAAGCCCTGTCCAGGCGTTCCCTCAGGCAGAAGTTCCAGGATGCGGTGGGCCAGTGTTTCCCCATCCGCTCTCATCACCACCACCACCACCACCACCCGGCTGGCACCTCCCGGGTGCTCTCCGTGCAGCTCTGGTCCAAGCGCAAGATCCACGTGTCGGAGCTCATGCAGGACAAGTGCCCCTTTTCCCCCAAGTCGGAGCTGGCCCACTGCTGGCACCTGATCAAGAAGCAAGGCAGCCTGAAGGGTGTGGAGGCTGAGCAGAAAGACGGGCTGGGCTCGGCGTCCCCTCCGGCTCTCATTTCCTGGGAGGAGATCCGTCTGCCGAGGTCGCAGGGAGGAGGGGAGGGAAGCCTTGAAGAATGGGATCTGAGCCTGAGGCCTGAGGCAGGCCCGGACTCCCCCCCGCCGGGCTCCATGCACTGCCTGGTGCCCGACCTCCTCCAGATTAACAACAGCCCGTGCTACTGGGGAGTTCTGGACCGCTACGAGGCGGAGGAGCTCCTGGAGGGGCAGCCGGAGGGGACCTTCCTGCTGAGGGACTCGGCCCAGGAGGAGTTCCTCTTCTCCGTCAGCTTCCGCCGCTACAGCCGCTCCCTCCACGCCCGCATCGAGCAGAGCGGCAAGCGCTTCAGCTTCGACGGCCGGGACCCCTGCGTGTACCGGGACCCCAGCGTCACGGGGCTGCTCCGGCACTACAGCGACCCGGCCACCTGCCTCTTCTTTGAGCCCCTGCTCTCCCGGCCCCTGCCCCGCAACTTCCCCTTCCCTCTGCAGCACCTGTGCAGGGCCGTCATCTGCAGCTGCACCACCTACCAGGGCATCGACGGCCTGCCCTTGCCCACCTCCCTGCAGGACTACCTGCGACAGTACCACTATAAATGCAGCGGGGCCTCTGCAGTATGACAGACCCAGAGCCGCTGGCGTTATCCCAGCAGTTCGCGTGTCAACGCTGGCCGTTTTCACTGGACAGGGACCCTTTGACGAGAAACGGCATCGGCAGAGATGGGATTGGAGACAGTAGCAGAAAGCAGACCCTTACACTACAGCTCAGGGTGCCAGTTACAGGGGTACATGTCAAGCCACTCTGTTGGACATTTTTGTTTTTGGACGCATGGTAGCAGTTATTTCCTGCTCTGATAGGAAGATTACAGCTCGACACGGGATTTTGCTTTTCCTGGACAGTTTTACACTCACCCACTGGTTACTGGCTGCTCTGGGAACCTGGCCCATCTGCCCAAATTGGAAATTGGACAACTGCACTATCCTCAAGATTCCTCCTACAGGTATAGACTGACGGCAGGACAGACTCCGAACTGAATTGACTGACACGATAAACTGTGAACATGAATTGCTCATTCACAAGTTTATGTTAGGTTGGCTGTTATGTTGCCTTTCAAGGTGTTATTGCGATTAGAGCCAGCAGATGTCACTTTATCGAATTGAAATGTTAAAAAAAGACTTGTACAGTGTTGATGGGTTGGATAAAAGCCATAATATATTAATTGTTCTTTTTATTTAACTTATTTATTACATTATTTTATTTTTGTCAGTTTCAGTCTTGGTCACACAAGCCCTGGCTTGATTAAATATCTATAAAAATATCTGTTCCTCTTTTTTAACAGATATTAAAACCTCTGATAACACATTTGTTCCGAACCGTCTGTTAGCTCTGCGGCATTATTGATTCAATGCATAAAAACACTAAAATACTTTTAATAAAAATGCATATTTACATCATAACATTGTTCAGGTACTTCAGGTTTTAGACACTTGATTACTGCTGCAGTGCAAATTCAGAATTCCCAGATAATACTAATTAAAAATGAAAATTAAATTCATAAATAGAAGTAACTGTCAATAGCTAGGGCTTAATACATTATCCTTGTCTCCTAATAAGGAGCTTATGTTTAGATATATTTTATTCCTTATAGACAGCTTTCCTCCTATTCTGGTCTTCATAAACCCAAAGGCAAGTTAATGGTATAGAAAGGTTTTCAGCCTTAAAAGGGAAAAGGCTTATTATAGAGGGCAGCTTTCTATTTCTGTAAAATGAACCTGACAGATAGTAAATGCATAGCAAAAAGAATTGATTTTTTGGCCTCAGTTCATAAATGTTTAATGACTTAAGGTAAAATAAGCAATTCTGTATATACCCTTGTGAACTGATTTTATACTTGCCCAATTGTTTGGTTTTCCAAATAAATGTTTGTAAATATCTTTTTAAGTAATAAAAAAAGGGTTTCAGAAGTTTGCGATTCATCTGCATTTCATTGTTAAAAATCGAAACAATGGCTGTCTTCCACTGTGACGTGTGCTAAATTCTGACCTTTTGAAGCTGTTTACTGATATTTATTAGTGCCCAACTGTAGAAGTGGAGTCTGGCTGGAGAGCAGAGAGACATATTAATTGATCTGCACCAACCACAGAAATGAAATATTTATGCCTATGTATTGACCAAGTTATAACTCCATTGTCCTTCTCATCCAGCGCCCTGCCTCATGTTATAGTATAGTACGGTATTGTGTACAATGAATCAAGCCAGTGTGGCTGCACATACAGTGAAGCTCATGATTTTCTGCAGATCTAAAGTCCAAACCTTCTGGCTGAATGGGGTCCTGAAAGAGCAGAATAAGACAACTAGATATCAGACAGAAGAACTGCCTTCTAACAACAGTAACACCAGCAGAAATAATTGCACTTCTAGATTTTCAGTGTTTTTGGAAGCAGATCTGCTACTAGAAATTCCCCTTTATCCTTTTAGTTTTGTATTTAATTTTGAAAATGACCTTGTAGGCTGTGATGCACTGGATTGCTCCATCTTGTATCCTTGTCTAAAGCAATTTAACACCTTGCTCTTCATAATATGTGGCTTGAAAGCAGTATTCTAAGATTTGCAGTGCCACTGTCCACAAGACACTTAAAAGATCATTGAAAAATAAATTAAAGACCCCAAGAGCATTAGGCCCTTTCATGTTTTTTTCGTTGTTAGGTAGGGTACTGAGAATATTTGTCTCGACCTGGGTGTCTGCTGTATATCTGCTGAAGCTTTCTGCATGTGTGAGCTGTACATGTATGTGAAAAACAGCTACAGTAAGTGCAATCAGTTTTTACAAAATTAAAACTTACCTATGACCTGTCAATAGTGAGTCAATTTTTACAACACGTTTCATAGCCACAAAGCAATTGAACGGTAACTTCTAAATAATAAATGGATAACAAATAGTGTTAAATTATGCATTATTTACAACAGATAAGGTCCCTGTAATGCACATGTCTGATCAGGGTGTAACCGTCAATATGGGACAATAATAAAAAATACATCTTAGTTCAAAAAAGTAAACTCTGCATCATATGAGATTGATGTTTTCAGAATGCTGGAATATACATATCTTCAAACTCAGGTTATAGAACTGTGATAATGTTCCACATAACACACCCCAATCTAGTAATTTGGTGTTGTGCTTTTGAATATTTGTGATATTACAATATTTATAATATTACAGGAGATAAAGTACTGTAGTAAAGCTGGAGGATTCTACTATTCGGTGGAAATTAATTTGGTGCTTATTTGAATGACGGCCATTTTCACCGAGCAAAGCGCCTTTCGTTAGTTTACGCATATAATGACGGATAAACAGCGACGCCTACCGTTACATGAAGAAAGTACAGTACCCCTACAGCAAATTTCACTTGGGTCGGAAAACCCAGGACTGGGAGCTGGGTGATGCTTTAAATCCCCATAAAACTGGAAAGATTTCGCCAACGAGGAGCAGAGTATTTTTATTATATCAGTCAGTAGTCAATAAGAATAGAGTTTAGAATTATTAATTTCAATGCAGTTGTAAGTTGATTTGTCGATCAATAAATTATATTATCATTATTCGTTGTTTTTATGATGTTTATATCGTTTAGCTTTAAACTCAGCACCCAGATGAATATGAATATCCTTAACACTCAGTCCGCTAGTCTTCTCTGCAGATACCAAGTTAAACGGGGAAAACAAAATCCAGTCTCAAAAACTGAGATGTATATTAAATATGTATTTATTTTAACAAACGCTAATTGTTATTAATGTATCAAGCAACGTATCCCAAAGACAAAAACGAAGAGTGCTGCGACAATAACCCCTTTTTTTCAAGGGGGCGGTGTCGACGTGGAGTGACGTAGTTGGCGGGAAACCTGAAGCTGTTTCCTTTTCATGCTGCGCGGGAGCTGGAAAAGCAGATGTATTGTTGTAGACGTATTTAATTTGAAAATCTGGTAAGTGCCTGCTTATTTTAATTTTGAACTTTCATAAAATGTACGTGTGAGCAGCACTTGTTGTAAACGAAGCAAAATAAATCTGTGCTTTTAATGAATGCTCTGTATTGGATGTTCCTGCGCTCAGAGATCTGTCAAGGTTTTTTAAATATAACTCTACACAGTGCGTGGTCTGAATAAAATATATATTGAGATTGTAACGTTAGCTAATGCTGTGATGGTTTTGTAATTGATGCGATTTGGGGAGTTCCGAAGCTAATGATGAAAGCGATATAAATACCTTCCTTATTGTAACATTCAGAGATCTATATAAACACTGTTTTCCTGTTTGTTGGTCTGTGTAAATAAGACGGAAACACTTCTCGTTATTGCTGTATCAGAATCTGTAACAAGTGAGAGCGTCTAACATAAGCTCATTTCGTTTAATACAAGGTAGCCTAGTACAGTCACTTCAAATCGGCAGTATGCAAGTATTTTTTCACGATCAGTTTTGCCTGTAGAAAATCCCAACATCGCAGTAAACATTGCAAGTGATTAAAAAAAAAATTAAAGTACTGTATGCGAGCTTTAAACATCAAACTGTCCAGTCGTAATTTTTATTGTCTGTGGGGAAAAAAGGGAATAAGAAAGTAAGGAAATGCAAGTGAGATTTCTGGGTTTTTTTCCTAGTACGTTTTTGAAGCCGGAGCATGCCTGCTGAGAGGAAGCCGATGCGCTATGGACACACGGAAGGGCACACGGATGTCTGTTTCGATGACGCTGGGAAGTACGTAGTCCGCAGTTCATTGTCCGAGGTTAATACCTTGCAGGTTATCCTAGGTGCCAGTTATCGACTCAATGTAGAAGTCAGTGTCCTGGCCTTTTTATGAATATTCTACCCGCCACCCCAGAGTGTGTACAGTATGGTAGTTCATTTTTATATTAGATTGGTTTCTTGTCTTTTCAGCGAGAGTGCACAATGACACCTCCAAAAAAGCGTGTCACCCTGCTTCAGATTTTTAAGCATTGCACAAATATTATTTTACAACTGCGTTATTTGTGGTACCAATACTTTTCAGCCCTTCCTGGTTGCATTTGTCACCCACGTGCTCCTCTGTCCTGCTTTCCTCTTGTCCTTGTCCACCCCCCTCCCCCCCACCCCAGGTACATCGTGACCTGTGGCAGCGATGGCGATGTACGCATCTGGGAGAGCCTGGATGACGATGATCCGAAATCCATCAACGTGGGGGAAAAGGCCTATTCTTTGGCCTTGAAGGTGAGAGCATGGCAGTGGATTCCTAAAAAGCGAGGGTCTTTCACCACGCTGTAGAAAACCTATTGCTCCCCAGAGAAAGGCAGCCAGATACATGCTGGGGCTTAAAGGCATGTCCTGCACTGACAGGCTGGAGGAACTGAGCCTCTTCAGTCTTGAACAGAGAGGACGGCGAGGGGACCTGATGCGGACTTTCCAAACCCTCAAAGACATTCACAAACTCAACCCAGAGGATAATTGTCAGAATGAACAGTGAACCAGGGGGCACAAGTGGAAAGTGCATTTATAACTGAATACAGGAGGCACTTCTTTACTTGAAGGGCTGTGAGAGTTTGGCATAAGGTACCCAGCCGCGCTGTTTAAGCTGGTACCCTGGTTTCTCTCAAGACCCAAATGGATGAGACCCTTTGTTAAGTACTGATTACCAAACACGCTAGATGGGCTATATGACCTCCTGTCATTTGTAGCCTTTCACATGTTCTTAACATCAGCTGTCACTTGGAAACAGCAACACTGTAAGAGCATTCCCAGGAAGTTTTACATTTTTGAACCGCAGTGTAGGGTGATAGTCACGTTTAAAGCTGTGTGGCACTGTTTTAAAATAATTGTTTGTGTTATTAAACGGTTCTTTTCAGCCCTGAGTCCTCTGTCATTCAGCTCTGGAAATTGGTCAGGAGAGACCGGAACACCAGCAGACTTGCTGTACAGTATTTCTGACAGTTTATTTTACTGTGTTGATTGAAAGGTCTACGCTTCTATGAAGTTATGTTTCTGTTTCCATCTCGCAGGAAGGGAAGCTTGTCACAGCCGTTTCCAATAACACAGTGCAGGTCCACACTTTCCCTGAGGGGGACCCAGATGGCATCTTGACCCGGTTTACCACCAACGCCAACCATGTCGTTTTCAACGGGAGTGGACAGAGAGTGGCCGTCGGGTCCAGGTACCGGAACTGCGGCAGGAGTGAGGAGTCCCGTCCTAAAAGGGCTCAGTACTAAAAGAAAGCTCACTTCTGCGAGAGATATGGGAGGCAGTGGCTTGGTGCAGGCCTTGACCATGAGGCAGTGTATTTCCTTGTGTGGATTATCTGGCTTTTAGTTTATATCATGCTCTTAGGAGGTGGCAGGGAGTGTAGTGTCCGGTGCCTGTCTCGACTCCTGACTGCAGGGTCTTGGGCGCATATCCCTGGGATGTTTCCCTGCTGTTGTGCCCCTGGGCAAGGTGTTTTAGTCCCACTGCTCCTGCCCACCCAGCTGTGGGAACAGGTGTCTGTATTTGCACCCCCACACCCATAACTCTTCACGCCATGGAAACCAGTCCAGGCTCTGAGCTGAGTGAGTTATTCATTGCTGTACCCGGCTGTTATTTCAGAGATACAGGAATGTCAGTTTGAATAGGAAAAATGAGGGCTTTTTTTCTGAGTAGCACCATTTGGTTTTCAGTCTGAAGACCTTTTCTTTTTCTTTTCGCTGCTCTTGTTATTTTTCTGTCCAAATGAATTGGAGATTGTGCGGATCATCATCTTTGCTTTAAAGTTCTTTGAGAGCTGCTTCATTGACCTCGTTGTCCGGATGCTTATTTTCCCAGTGACTTCTTAGTGAAGGTTGTTGAGGTTTCAGACAGCAGCCAGCAGAAAACTCTGCGAGGACACAAAGCTCCCATTCTCAGTGTGGCCTTTGACCCAAAGGATGAGTTTGTGGTAAGTCCTCTACAATGAGCCATCAAGTTGTGGCAGAAAACACCCAGAATTGTGAATAGTAACAGCAACGAATAAGAGAGAAAGAATGACAAAATTTTATTTTGTAGCTGTAAAATTTTTAAGAATTTTGTAGCTTCTTGCCATTTTTAGGCTTACTATATTTTTTTTAATCCCAGGAATGCTTTTTGTTGAGTCCTTCATGCCTGGTTTGTTTGCTTCATGTAATTTATTCTTGTCTGTTGTTAACTGGGAGTATCTTTGCAATTCAGGCGTCTTCGAGTTGTGATGGGTCTGTAGCTGTCTGGAAAATAGCAGACCAGGTATGACAGTGTGTAAGCGCTCTTCTTGATGTGTTGCTTCTTTCAGAAGGAAATCCTTTTGCAGGCTTATTTCTTTACCGAGAGGCAGAGTCAGATGCCTGTATGATTTCATACTGCTTTGTGCAATAAAAAATGCCACTGTAAATCGTTACTGTTGTAATCCGACTTCTTCGGATTTAATGCAAACAAAATTATAGATCTTAAAGCAGGGGAGGGCAGTCCTGATCCGGAAGGGCCTAGGAATCTCCAGGTTTTCATTCCAGCTTGGCTTTTGATGTCAATCAGGTACATATTGACTAGTGCCAATTCAACAGCTTCTTCCACCTCTTTAAGTTGCTGGGGTTTTTAAGAGACTTAGAAAACCTGCACTGGCCCTCCAGAACCAAGATCTCCACACCTGCTTTAGAGATTTCATCTTAGCAGGTGGTGTTTAAGCTGCAGTTTAATAATGCTTGTTTTGATGTGAAAACTGTTCAAACTGTATTTCAGATGCAGGTGGCCTGTTGGCAGGTGTTGCAGAAGTCCAGTGACGTAGTCAACACCACATCGCTCTGCAGGCTGGCCTGGCAGCCCAGTTCTGGGAAGGTACAGACTCAGACTGTTGAGAGAGGCACACTGCGTTCCCATTCCCCACCTTCATACCTTCATGTCTGCTTCCTGGGTCTGGGTGTCAGAACATTTCCCAGCAGCTGTGTATTCATACATTTGAAAAATGCACGGCTTGGAATTTGTTTCTAAAATGCATGAATAAAGTTTAGGACCTCTATTTAATCTTACAGCAACGTTATTGTGAGTACTGTCTCCAGCACCTCCCTTGTTCATCCTTGTTTTCCATTGTAAGCAAAAAGTAAACTAATCAAATTGGCAGTTTCTCATGATGGATTGTCTGCCCCCTTGTCCTAACTGGCAGTGAGCCCTTGATTTTATTGTTGTGTATCATTGCATCCTTTTTTCTTTTCTTGCAAAGCTACTCTCCTGTGAGCCCACCTGATTCATAAAGCATTTGAACTGCTAAACTGAAATGTTTTCTGCTGTCTGCCCTTAGCTGCTGGCTGTTCCAGTGGGCACATCAGTCCACTTATATGAGAGAGATTCCTGGAAGAACGTCCACACTCTGACTGACGACTTCATCACGAAGGTGAGTGTAGTACATCTTATAACGTGTGCGCGCTTCCTAGCAACTTGGTGTTAAAATAAGGACAGGTCTTTTCTAAGACCTCTTTGCTATGGAGGTTGTCTAGTGCTCCTCTTTAATGATTTTAAAGAGAAGCCTTTGTTCCGGGGGGGACTATCGGATCTGATCTAACTGAAGGGCAAAGCGAACAGCTTTGTTTCAGACATGCAGTTGTCCTCAGCTGTGGGTCCTGATTGAGCAGGTATACTGTTCTGCGTTTTCCCCCAGCCTGTGAATGTGGTGGCCTGGTCACCTTGTGGGCAGTTCCTGGCAGCAGGCAGCATAGGTGGCTTTATGACGGTCTGGAACATCGAAACCAAGGAATGCCTGGAGAGGTACCACGTCAGCACATGTTCATGTTTGTGTTGCCCAATTGCTGATGAATAAGCATAATCCAGTACAATCCATACATAAACATATAGAATATATAATATGTTATATATTTATATAAATCCAATAATATAGTTAATATTGAGTAATATCAATATAATGTATAAGTTACAAATATATTTAATAAACATATAAATATACCCATAATCCATAAATAAACAATCCAAAATAAACAGGGTTTGAATATCGTTGTGTTTTTATTTTTGTAAAAAAAACAACTTCAGGATATACATATTTTTTATCTTTTTTTACCATCTTTTTTAACCTGCTGTTAAATATTCTTAACACTGTCATATTATGATTATCAACTTTTATGTTATATATTAGATTATTACCCCCATAGTTTTTTTTGTTTACAAGGTTCATTTGTTCTTTAAACTTTTAATTGATGTTTTCTCCAAGATGTAACCTTATTTTCCTTGACACCTGAGCTGAGCTTCATATGTACAGGTGGCTGAACTGTGATTGTTTTCTGGGCCCTGGCTGTTTGTTGGTTCTCAGGGAAAAGCATGAGAAAGGCTACACTGTGTGTGGCATGGCCTGGCACCCTGCTGGGGGGCAGATCGCCTACACCGACACAGAGGGCTGTCTGGGGCTTTTGGACGGAGTATCTGCAACAACCGCAAAGAATTCCAAGGTCAGACACCACCTGAAAGTATCATCTGCCCAAAATCTGACCATGCTTTTTTTTTCTCTGTGATTTTATTCTTGATATATTCTCAGTGAGGTTTATTCTGTGGCCTTTCCTTTTCTTTGCTAAATTTAATGAAGAACGAGCTATCTTTTCTGGGTGTGCTGATGTTGTTAAGTTACTGATTTTTTTTTTTTACATGGTTGTTTTCTAAAATCAGCATCGCTAACAGTACCACTTTCCCACAGGTCACAGCCAGCAAGGAGGCAAGGGACTATGATGATCTGTTTGATGAGGATGATGACGGATTGCTGGAGGAAGACCTGGGTGAAGTCCGCTCTTCCCCGAAGAAGCCTGTCCCTGAGGAGGAGGAGGACGACGACCTCATGCCCTCCATGAGTCGAACCCGAAACCGCGGAGCCTTCCTGGACGATGATGAGAACTCTCTAGGTGAGATACAACATTAACCGGCGTTTCCAGCCAGCAGAGATTATGATGAAATGAACTGTGTATATAAGGGGGTAATGCAAAGTAAAATGTTTTTAGCAACGTGCTTGAAGAAAGGAAAAGGAATTAAGCAAATGAGCAAATTCTGACTTTATGTACTAAAAGATTTAGTATCTGCTGAGTTGTAATTGTTTCAGAGATGGACATGTTGTGTGTGTATGTGTAGATGTGGGGTCTGTGAAGCTGGACAGAGACGGAGATGGAGATGACGATGGAGCCAGTGCTATTGTCCATCCCACAGTTCCTGCTGTACCCAGGCCGGTTTACGAGGGACCCCTGCCCACCCCACCACAGAAACCCTTTCAGCCCGGCTCCACGCCAGCACACCTCATGCACCGCTTCCTGGTGAGGAAAGCCCCGGCGTTGCCCTGATGCACAGGAAAGAAAAAAAAAAACACAGAAAAGGTGCCCAACACAGCCGATCCGGGTCTAAACCTCGCTTGTTGACGAGCCCCTGTGTTTGTGGCAGGTCTGGAACTCGGTGGGGATCGTGCGGGGCTATAACGACGAAGAGGACAACGCCATAGACGTGGAGTTTCACGACACCTCCGTGCACCATGCCATGCACCTCACCAACGCCCTGGGGCACACCCTGGCCGACTTGTCCCAGGAGGCTGTGCTGCTGGCCTGTGAGGGAACGGAAGAGCTGGCTAGGTAGGACTCGTGCAGTCTCTCCGCCTGAGGGCCAGTCGCTCTTCCCACGGCTTTCAAGGATTCTGTTGCGATTACAAGTGGGGCTTGCGCTTAACCAAGAAGTCACGAGGGCTTGCAATGGACAGCACTGCAAAAATCGGCATTAAAATGTTTATTCTATCTTTATAAGCAGTGGCAGGTAATTCAGTATTGACAACAATGTGGATAGCATGAGTAAACAGTGACAGTGAAATTATTTGGCTTTGATCTATAATTAAATGGATCGCCTTTTGCATAGCGGTGCTGTTCACAGACCATCGCTAAGAGCCGCTGGATTTGTTGCGTTTCATTTGTGAGCAGCAAGGTGCAGTGCCTGCACTTCAGCTCCTGGGACACAAACAAGGAGTGGATGGTGGACCTGCCTAAGGGGGAGGATGCAAAGGCGCTGTGTCTCGGCCAGGGCTGGGCAGCCACTGCCACCAGTTCCCTGCTGGTGCGGGTCTTCTCCATCGGAGGTGTGCAGCGGGAGATCTTCAGCTTGCCAGGCCCGGTGGTCTGCATGGCCGGACACGGAGAGCAGCTTCTGCTCGTCTATCACAGAGGTATTTCCCAGCAGGGGCCTTCTGCTTTCAGTGGTAGCCAGTAAGCGCATTACTGGTGACCTGTTCACAACTCACTTGGCTATACTGTACATTTAAGGTGGAAAATTATGATTCTTCACTGCTCTTAAACCATAACAAATTCTCTTTTCAGCTATTAGTACTTCAGGACATTTTGGATTGTGTTCACAGTATTCTCTGCTGTTCATCTGCAATTACCTGGATTATAGTTTAGGTGTCTCCACAAATAAAGTGTCCTTACAGGCACACTTATGTTGCTGTCTGAAGCGGGGGAGATGTTAAAAGACTCCCAAATTTCTTGATCCCTGATTCCCAGACTATTTATTGTAATGGCAGTGACAGTAAATTGGTCAATACTGGGGGTGAAAGCAGTTAAAAGTTTGTATCTTCAGATCCCTGTGTGGGGAAAAAAAAGGAATTGTAGGATTTTTCATAAGCTCAGAATTTTTTGTTTTGTCTGTGTCCATAGAACAGATTGTAAGCCTGTTTTCATTACCTCAGGGACAGGCTTTGATGGGGAGCAGGCCCTGGGTGTCCAGCTGTTGCATTTTGGGAAGAAGATGAGACAGATTCTTCATGGGGAGCCTCTTCCCCTGTCTCACAAAGCCCACCTGTCCTGGCTGGGCTTCTCTGCTGAGGGTGAGTCTCTCTTGGGAGATTGACCAGGCTGTGTTTCTGCTCCTTCTCTCTTTCTATCCACTGCTGTTCAGTTTTTAAATGTTTTGTTTTTCTTCTGCCCATACAGTAGAAGCCAAATTGGATTTGACTTTTATAGTGTGTATGATTTACTCCTCCCTCCAGGTACCCCTTGCTTTGTTGATTCCGAAGGTGTTGTGCGCATGCTGAACCGCTCCTTGGGGAACACGTGGACCCCAGTCTGTAACACGCGGGAGAACTGCAAGGGTAAATCCGACCACTACTGGGTGGTTGGCATCCATGAGAACCCCCAGCAGCTGAGGTGAGGCCCTGCTGCTGCTACCGACCTCCAGATACAAAGCCTTGCAAAGAACCCTAATATGATTGGGGCGGTGTGGTGGCTCTGTGGTTAAGGATCTGTGCCTGTGGCTGGAGGGTTGCTGGTTTAAATCCTGTGGCTGGCAGAGGAATCCTACTCCGTTGGGCCCCTGAGTAAGGCCCTTAACCCCAGCTGCTCCAAGGATGCCATATAAATGGCTGACCCTGCGCTCTGACCCCAAGCTTCTCTCTCCCCATCTGTGTGCCTGTGTGTCTCATGGAGAGCAGGCTGGGGTATGGAAAAAGACAAATTCCTAATGCAAGATATTGTGTATGGGTAATAAAGTGATCTTATCTTACCTACACCAGGCCAGACGGTGAAACGCAAAGTAAAACACACCAATCTTGAAAGTGGCATAATATGTCTGTGATGCATGTTGACCCTTTCATTTTTGTAGGATTAAGTAGGGGTTAGATGGGTATTAAAAATATATAAAGCCTGAAATTAGTTGAGGTGGATGTCTCAATAGACATCTTCTGCATTTGAGAGTTAAACGTACAGGAAATTAAATTTTTCATAATGTTATACAGTGAGTCACCCAGGGTGACGAGTAAAGAAAGGAGCCAGAAAACTAATATTGTGGAACTCTGATCCCTAGAGGACAAATTGTCTGTTTTGTACAAGAGTTTTGGCCAAGAAAATTTAACATTAAGCATGGAACAGAGAAAGTGCAAAAAAATACAACACATTGATATTGCATTTGATGATCAAATGCCGTTTGAAGCTTTTTTTTTTACAATTCATTTCATGATGTCTGTACCTGACATTCCTAAGCTTTAACAAGGTGCCGTGTGCAGTACTGTAATACAGACATAGCGAGGGCCTGTCAGTGCAGCAAGTTGAAAGCCCTTCTACTGCTGTTCCCCTTCCTCAGATGTATTCCCTGTAAGGGAGCTCGGTTCCCCCCAACACTGCCTCGCCCTGCTGTGGCTATCCTGCCCTTCAAGCTGCCCTACTGTCAGACAGCCACAGAGAAGGGCCAGATGGAGGTAGGAGAGTTGTCGATACCTTGGCAGAGCAGTGAGTGATCAGTATGACAGCAGTGATATTACAAAGTCTTCTGTTTTTGAAAGTTGTTGGGGGAATTTTGCTGATAAAATATATATTTTTTTAGGAAATGATGGGCAACTTGGTGGCACAATGGTTAGCATTGCCGCCTTGCAGGGCTGGGGCCCTGGGTTCAAATCCAGACCTGGTGTACTATCTGCCTGGAGTTTGTATGTTTTCCACGTGTTTGTGTGGGTTCTACTAGGCGCTCCACTTTCCTCCCACAATCCAAACACTTACTGGCAGGATAATTGGTTTTGGGGAAGATTGGCCCTGGTGTGAAAGTGGGCATGTCTGTGTTTGTGTTTGCTCTGTGATAGGCTGGTGTCCCTTCCACAGCGTATCCTACCTTGTGCCTGTTGCTTGCCGGGATAGAGTTTGATTCTTCCATGACCCTAAATTGAAAGAAGCAGTTAGAAAATGGGAGGATGATGAAATGACAGATGAAAATGATGTAAATGAAATAAGCATTTAATCAGCTGTGCTTTTCTGTCTCCATCTGAAGTGTGCTTCCAGCAGTTCCATTTATTCCTGGGCACAGAATGTCCTGTCCTTTCCTGAAAGGAGATGATCACAGTGCTCGTGTTGTAAAACTGATATGCTCTTTTCTGTCTGTGTTTTCAGGAGCACTACTGGCGGTCTGTGCTGTTTCACAATCACTTTGACTTCCTGGCTAGGAGCGGATATGAGTTTGATGAAGCTACGAAGAACCAAGCAGAAAAAGAACAACAGGAGCTGCTTATGAAGATGTTTGCTGTGAGTATAAAGAAATAAGACCATACATTTTGCTCTCGTATCTTTTTTTATTTGAAACAGACCGTTAAGTTGTGTGAAAATTGAACTGTATGATAAGAAAACTTAGCTAATATAAATTACATGGAAGCAAAAGAGTCGGAGGATTTGTATTTTTTGTATGCGTTTTTTAAGAACGCTTGACAGGGACATTTAAAGGCAAGTTATTGAAAACTGATATCTTTGGGTTTATTGAACTGTGTATTGTTTGTCCGGGTGTCCAGCTTTCCTGTAAGCTGGAGAGGGAATTTCGCTGTATGGAGCTGGCAGAGATGATGACCCAGAATGTGGTGACGTTGGCGATCCGCTACGCCTCTCGCTCCAGACGCATGGCGCTGGCACAGCGTCTCAATGACCTGGCTCTGGAGAAGGCCACGGAGGTTGCCATAGCTACACAGGAAGTGGAGGAACAGGAAGAAGATTTCGACACTAAAGTGAATGCTGGGTAACTTGGTTTTTTTCTACAAACCTTTTCTGGCAAGCAGGTGCTTTTGGATGTTTATAGATCTAGAACTCAGAGTTCAAAATAAGAGGCTTTCGTGTACATTAGAGTTTCAGAAAGTCACGAGACTGCAGTGATGTTTGCCAAGAACAATGCAGCTACTACAGGACCTTTCAATTCTATTTTGGAACATAATTCTGAGTATGGAATAGCAAATCTTATTTAATCTGTGGAAATTCTGGGAATTAGTAAATGCGCCTGTTGCATCTGTTCACACACTGTACACATTTATAAAATGTGTTTAGATTTCTTAACTATTATCTATTAGTATGTCCATCATAATGATGCAGTCTGATGTAGTAGAATTTATATTTAACCATATAAGGAAGTGTTTTTGCTTTTTGATACATAGTTACATTTGCCGTTTCCAGGAATTTGCAAGGTGTTGTATCTTGTATCGCATGTAGAAGCAATTCCAGTGATAAGTCATTTTCAATCAATCAGTGTTCCTAGAGCAAGAAGCAACAGACAGTATGCTAAGGAGGAAGAAGAGCAGGAGGAAGTGGAGGAAGAGGAAGGCCCAGACCAGATGGAGACTGAGGAGACACCAGACACCAGAAAAACTCGTGAGTCTCTCACTCCTACTCGGAAATGTAGCTGTGTTGGTGGGAGTGACTCTTCCTCTCCATGTTCCACTGTAGTACTGCCTTGACACCGTATACTGTATATGTCACAGTAAAGACACTGAACCAGTGTTTTCATGAAATCCCTAAATATTTAACCTTTTATGTATTTACTTAATTAGGGATTAATATTGCATCCCTGGTTTCATGTTTTCCAACAATTACTGCTGTGTTGCTCACTATAAGTAATACTGTATCTCACATTAGTGGTTTTGCACTCCCTTGAGAAGAGTGATGCTGAACTAAAGCTCTTATCATCCAAAACTGAAATCTCGCTCACAGAGCTTCATGTTCTATAAATTATGTAGGTCTATGTATTTAGTTTGAGTTGTTGTTTCACAAAATTGAGATGTTTATTCACTCTAAATTTGGAAATAGAGAACAAATATTTTTCCATTTCAATCTGTGACAATGGAAAACAGAGTTGCATTCTGAAAAGAGGTTGAACTGAGACGATGGAAACATGAAACCTTCAGCAAAGGCAGACACAAATGGCCTCACTCAATGATAAGAGCATTTTAACAGGAACAGCCTATTCAGGACTCCTTTCATTCAAACAAGCGAACTAAAGAAAACTTTACAACAGACGAAAAGGCTGCCCATGAACACTGTGGCTTTTGTATACCACAGGGCTGAATCCCTTCAGCATAGGGTCCAGTTCATCTGAGACAGCTTCTCCGCTGCCTTGTGAGTACCTTTTATTACTTCGTAGAGCAGTTTGTCTGTTCCTTAAGTGCCTTTACAGAACTTTTTAAAATATTAAAACTTGAATACATTCTTCCGTGTTTGTACATTATCATTTACATATTTTCAGTCTATGAATGTACTGGATATATTTGTGTATGCACAAACAGTGTAAATGCAAGACTTATTCCTTGTAATGGTTCATTTATTTTTTGTTCCTCACAGTTCTTGGGGCCAGCAAAGAAGGGCGTGTAAACCCTTTTAAGGTGAGATTCTTCTACCAAACTGTGTTGGACTGGGGCGCTAACCCTTCACAGATGTTGCCCAGAGTGTCAGACTTGGAGATGGAATGATTCGGGTGATTTGGAGTGAGGCACAGATATCTGTGGAAGCACAGTAATGTTGTTGTTTTACAGGGAACTCCTTGAGTTTTAGAATATATTTTGGTATTGCCATTGATCAATTCTGTTCCATGTCTAGGTGTCTGGTGGTGGTAGATCTTCAAGCTTCTCTGCAGCACAGCCACGTGTGACCAGCGTCCTGGACAACATGACCAGAACCAATAGGAAATCCTCCATGCCAGGCAGTTCTATAGCCAGACAGGATAAGTCTCTTGTTCTGAAGCCACTAGTACCCAAACCAAAGTCCAAGGTATTTCTAAGACTAAAGAGTCCTTTGTATTAAGCTTAAAAGCAGTGTCCTTTTTTCATATCTGTGGCAGCAGATTTTGATATGCAGTTTTCTCTAGTCTCCATAGGTTACTTTGGGTACCGCCAGCCATGTATATAGCTAATTATTGTAGTTGCTATGGTAAATGAATTAAAGACATTGCATTAAAGGCACTTGTGGACAAACTGCAAAATACGTTGCATATCTTAATACAATTTGAGTAAATACACCTGAATATCATTGACTGCAGAGTATACGGCCAGATGCATTATGATGTACAGATTTAGGTGTGTTCTTTGTTATGGCTTTTAATTAAGTAAGTGCCACAAAATACAAGCAGCCAGATCTTTCTGTGACTAAAAGTGAAATTGACCTGTGTTCTCCAGACCCAGGCTACACTGTTGCAACTGAGTGCCACTAAACCAGCTCCTAAGAGTCTTGAGAAGGGAAAGGACAGTGCAACTGAGAAGGAGAGCAGTGCTGGAAGAGAGCCTCTGGTCTCTGCTGCAGAAAACACCGAAAACAGAAAGTAAGCGGGTGATATTGTGTGGAACAGCTGCAGACTGCTTTAATGTTTAGGCTGAGATTGTGCTTTGGTGCATTTGCCTTATACTGTTTATACTCTGAGTATGGATCATTTTCTTTCTTCATTTTCTAAAAAAGCACCATTGGAAGAATTGAACAGCCCCTTTCTTAATGATGAATTGCGGGAGGGTGTATGATTTGCATGACACTCATGTCCTGCATGTGCTGTGATTGAGGGGGTGAAGTAGTGGTCATCTTTACTTGACTGATATGACACTTGATATATCACCCAAGTTTGCTGTGCTTCTAAATTAAGCACAAATTAAGTTTAGATCAGTTCAGCATTCTATGGGATTACAAGCTCTGTCGCCTCTTGCAAGCTTGTTTTTAAAATGTTCGAGTAGGTAGCTCTGTCAGCATATGTTAGCAGCGAAGGAACAGGTAAAGGTTTATTTAATCCTGAAAGGAAATGAAAAGCATTAATCATACACGCCATAAATCAGGCGTGTTGCACACCTCAAGAAGGCTCCACAGCCGAAAAGTTGTCCCTTTTCTTTACAGCGTGGAATAAACCTTTAACTTTTTCCTTTGTCTTTAAAAAGTTCACTTTTTTTCTGGTCTACCTTAATTTCATTAGTCTTTTAATTTTCAAAGAAGTAAAATCGTTGATGAATTCTGAAGTTCCCAGAAGTGTGTAAGATGTACAGCAGTTTTACTGTGGTGCTTTCTTCTCCAGGCCTAAGACAGGCTTTCAACTCTGGTTGGAGGAGAACCGCAAAACAATTGTGGCAGAGAACCCAGACCTAGAAGAGACAGATGTTATCAAAGAGGCGATGGGCCGCTTCAAAGCTTTGTCTGCTGATGACCGACTGGTATGACAGGCTTCCTTTTTTACACAGTACAGCTTGATCTGCAGCGCACAGCTAAATGAGAACTAAAAGGAAGTTTTTTATATTGTACAGAACACAGTGATTTTTAAAAAAGTTGATCATTTAAATGTTTGAGCCCTAGCTCAACATTTTTGTATATATTTTAGATATTCGTACCTTTTCGTATATATTTTAGATATTCTTACAGCACCTCCAGGTTAACAGTGCCCTAAAATAGCTTAAGTTCTCTTATTATGCTAAGGTGTCAATTTCATCCTTAATTAAATGGTCATTCCCAACTCTGGTCCCGATTTGATCTCTCCCTGGAGTTAAAATGTCTTTATGCGTAGAACTTGCTCTAAATATTTTATACCCCTGCTTTAGTTTGTGGGGTCTTTCTTTTCTGGAGGTAACAAGCATCCAAAGATAGTTCATAGTACATCTTGTGAAACAGTGTGCAGACTTTTTGAAAGGAACTTTACAAAGGCAGATTATGATCTAGCATACAGTACCCTCACTGCCACAATCTAATTTCGTTACCCGGTGATGATACAATGTGTGAAAACAGAAACTTTTAAACAAGCATAAACTGATTTAGGCCAGTCTGTCAGGTTGCCTGTGGTTTGCTGATAAAATGGCAGCTAGGAAAGGGCGTGCTTTACGTGGATCTTTCTTTGTTGCTTCTGATTAAGGTACTGTACAGTTAGTTTCTTTTAAGTTATCACCCCATGCTTTGTTTTACCTGCGCTGTGGAAGCTTCTGATTCTGAGTGATTATTCATGGTACATGCCGTGTTCAGGGGAAAGAAAAGATGATCACCATCCGATTCATATCTTTTCAATCAGACGTTCATTTGAACATGATCCAGTTTCTTCGTGACACGCTTTGATGGATGGCATTATCGCTTTGAGTCATTCTGCTGATTTGAGCTCAGAACGGGGATAGGACAGTGGTGGCTTTGTGCACAGGTGGGGATGGCTTCAAGATGCAAACCTCCTCCTAAATTCCAAAATGTTCACCCACCACCACCACCACTACCACACAGACGCACCAGATCAGATAACAGGAAGACCTCATTCCCACTAAATAGTTTTGCATCCCTCCCTGAGCAGCAGAAACACAAACACTTACCGTCCAGCCTCTTGAAGCACCTGTTCATGACCCTGCAATGCAGAGACCACTCAGTAGAGCGGGCTGTGACGGAAACACAGGAGGGGTCGGCCTGCGTGGGGGTCTTTGAAGGACCCGTTGCTTGGGAACTCAGGCCACGGTTCTTGGGGAGATTGTTTATTGATCTTATGCTAATGATTTGGGAGGAATAAGTGAGGAGATGGATGCTGGGACACGACATCAATTCAGGCTCCATTTGGGTGGAAGAATAGGAGTGGGAGGCATCGATGAAAACAGGTTTCAATTGCTCTCCTGCTCAGCTGTCGATGACTCATCCTGGGTTCTGTCCTGTCAAGTGTTAGTCTGCTGATAAAGAGACTATTAAAGGAAGATGCATCCTAAACTGGACTGTCAATAGCTATTAAATAGAAACAGTGGCATTTGAAATGTAGATTGGGAGCTTGGTGTGTATCCAGCAGATGTACAGAATGAAGTTACGTTTTTTTATGATTTATTTTGCTTTCTCCCTGGAAATTGATTAGTGCAAAACTGTCGCTGTTTTCCATCTCTTCATCCTCTGTCGGTGTGCTGCAAAAGATGTTGGTTATAAGCGTCTGCGGCATTTCACGTTTTCATTTGTGGCGTTTCCTTGAAGCAGGCTCTCTTGACCCCATTTTCTGTCTGAACTTTATTCATATAAATACCTTGGGCTTACATATTCCAGTGGCTTTGACTTCGAAAAGCAGTGAGAAAAATGTGAAATGCGCCCAGAAAATGAGACCCCTAGATGATGTATAATACTGTGAATCAACATTGCTGCACCGTAACGCATCTCCCACTGCGTGTCACGGCCCTGCCTCGCCCGTGTCTTATCGAACGCTTTGATGATGTTCCCTTTCCTTTTTTTTTTAGTCCTGGACAGAGAGAGCTAAGGGAGGGAATTCGGGAGACCTGGCAGAGCTGAAAAAACGAAAGCGGATGGAAGGGGGGAGCGGAGAGGAGCAGGTCAGGGGAGAGACGGAGTCGAATGAAAACAGCGCCAAGAAGAAGAAGCCTCTGGATGCCTCTGCCAAGCTTTCCGCCTTTGCTTTTGACAGGAGCTGAAGTTCCCAATTAATGCCTTTAACCTTCATGACAGGCTAAAGCAGCCACTGCAGCACTGCACCTGAGTGTATTAAAGTCCCGCCACACTTTGGTCACAACTGGTGAAATAGTTTTATTCTATTCCTGGCTTTTATATTTTCAGGGATCTCTTACTGGAGCTTCTAGAGAAGAAGGAACACCTTATTTTTTTAGAGATACTGTAGCACAATACCTATTAATGGCTCTCAGTTCCGCATGCTCACAAATGGAGTTGGGAATGATCAAAGTTATACCCATAATCCCAGCGTACTGTAGGTGCCTTTTGCCTTCATTGCAGGTGCATAATTATAAAAATCGTTTTTGAACATTTGAAAACTAGGCTGTTGATTCAAAGCATTTGTATCCTTAAAAAAAATTTTCGGCCCTTTTCGAGGTTGTTCTTTTATTTGTTCTTTTTTTTGGGCGGAGGCCGTTCAGTTTTTTTTGTTAAACGTTTGAGGTTTGAACCAATTATTGTGTATTATGCCTCTCGTTTGCATTGTAGATAGCTGTATAGAGAGCTGGTTCGTTTACTGTTAAAAAGTAAAAAAAATAGCTTCTCCACCATAGATAATGGAATGTGTTTAACTTTGGGTATTTTTTATTATTTTATATAGCTTTGTATATTAAAATGTTTTTTAAGATCTAATGTATATTAAAATAAACTGAAAGAATATCCAGTATATACGTTTCTAGATTTTTTTCATTCTGTCAAGCTGAATTAACCTTAAGCCTAGAATACAACTCTGAAAACCTATAAGGAAAAATAACCAGACATAACTACGTCACTGACTAAAGGGCAGAATTGCATGTTGGTGCACTTGGCAAAAGACACCCTTTTCACTCTTGTTTTTGAAGATGGAATGTAATCGTTTATTTTGAATCGTGTTCATAAACATGAAACTGGATGTGTTAGGAAAATACAGATTTATGAATCGGCTAAATTCTACTTCTGGTCAGGTCATGAAGGCAAAATGTTTTTGAAGTAACTACCAAAAAGTCAGTTTTTTTTTACCTGACCGAAGTCCATTAACCGTGAGATCAGCGCACTTATTTTACCTCGCTGAAACCCATCGGATAGGACCTTGATATACAGCAGGGAGGAGCATCAAGCGCCGCTCTCTCCAAAGCAAATTAGTGTGGCGTATTTGACTCGGTGGTTATTTTGACTTGAGGCAATTTTGTTGCTTTACATTTTGTGAAATTCTGTGGTCACGCAACCACTTAGTCTCAGAAAATGATTTTGCCTTTTTAGGTGTTGCTTGACGTATTTAGAAAAACGGTACCTTCAATACAAAACTCTGTTTTATCACACTAGATAATAAGAGAGAAACCGGAAGGGTTCCTCGGTAGCTATAAACGGTCATTCATTCATTCAGGTTCCGTACAAAAACTTACGCAAAGCCTATTTCTGTATTTTTTGCGATTTGACTGCATTAAAGACGAGTTTCTTAAACACGGAATGAATGGACTAAAGGAGTAGAATATACTCAAGTCCGAATAAACTGATTTTTCGTATATTATTTTGTAAATGCACTATTGTACTACATGTATTAAGATGAGGAGGATAAAGAGGTGGTTCCTCGATTTTATTAAATTTTAGCCGAAGAGGCTGTCTTCATCCGCTTAGATGGCATTGACAGGCGGTGACGCACTCCGTGAGAGCGTCCAATGGCCACCCTTGAGGATTAGCTCGTGTTTATAAAACCACAGAGAAACAATGTGCTTTCGGCTTAAACCAACTATCTGGGGATAGAGAGGTCTTTGGGTAGAGAGGGGGTCTATTAAGATAGATAACACTTAGGAAAACCAAAGTGCGTAAAACTCGTTTCACGGCATACCGTGAAAACCTTTGAAGTTTCAGAGAAAAGTGACGGAGGAAAGAAAAAAGGCATCTCGTCAACTTCAAGCCATGGAGCTTTCAAAACAGCATCAACTCAGGCAAAATGAAAAGCCAGCGGCTAGTACATCAACCAGCGCTGTGAACGGCCACTTGGAAGATAGGACGTTCATTACCAGGTCCCCGGACCACAGCCGGGGTCCCCAGGTAGCCCCTGGAGAGGCTAGTTCACATTCGGCATCGATTATGGAGAGCTGGAAAGAGGAGCGCACCCGAAGTGTGGAAGACAACGAGATGAGCTTGCCCAGTCTGGCCGCTGCCTACACTACTATCCTCCGGGGTCTAGGAGAAGATCCTCAAAGACAGGGGCTTCTCAAAACACCTTGGAGGGCCGCCACGGCCATGCAGTACTTCACCAAGGGCTACCAGGAGAAAATCACAGGTGAGCCGAGTTGAACTGCTGCATGTAGTCATGTAAGTCGCTGCTTATGGTGGCATACTATTTGATTTCGGGCTGAAATCTAACGACACTGAGTTACGATTTTGCTGTATCCTGGTCGGTTGCATTCTTCGTTCGTTTTTGAGCAATATTCTGCTCTACTGTTGAGAAATACAGTAGTTCCCCAGAGTGAGACGTAAGGCGCTGCTTGTTTTTTTTTCCCGCACATGTTTCCAGAGTTGCAAAACTCAATAGCAGCCTACTAATACACCGCATTCACGCGTTATGTTTCACCTATGAGGTAAATGAAAACAGTCATTTATCAGTGCAGTTTAATGACATCAATCCAAATACCGATTACAAAAATTACCTCTTACCTGTGTATGTAAAGGTAGCACAGAATACGATTGCAATAAAGGCATTGCCTTTTTTTTTTTGCTGCAGGTGAGGCTGAGGCGTTTGCGATGATGGTGTTTGCCGAGCAGGTTATTTTAACGTGAATAAAGCAGTACACCTAGCTAGCCATGTGTCTGTCTCCATGTAAAAACATTTCTGCTGGGGTGCGTACCTAGGTGTTTAGCTAGGCGTCTAGCTTACTTTTGTTGTAAAACTTCATTCACATTTTTTCTAAGCGCTTAGAATTTACGCGGAAGATGCGGAAGAATTAACCGGGTTTTGAGGAAGACGGTTACAGTAATGCATTGCACAATCGCTTGCACAAGGAAACTGCTGGTGATTTTACCCTAATTACTTTTAGAAGAAGTAGAAATCTGTTACCCATTTGGAATTTAATTATGCTGTGACATTTCACTTCATGGCTGTTCAAATGACTTTGCAAATGCTTTGTTAATGCAACACAGCCATCCCTTTTTAACACAAATCTTCGACCGAGGAAGCTTCGTGTTAGAAATCGCTGCCTTTAATCATTCATTTAACCTTCAAAGTACGAGCAAGACGCACGAACCTTGATGTAGCTTGTGTTGCCTCGTATAATTTTTAAAGTATTAGTTCTCTTCTGTAGACGTCTCTCATTTTTCTCCAATTATAATCTTCATGCTTTTATTAAAAATTTAGTAGGATTTCCTGAAGGATTCGTTATAATAACTACGCTACAATACTAAGTTTAATTATTGTAGGAATGAACGGCTTAAGTTGGTAGACTGATGGGATATTTCTGTAATGACTTGGTTATACAACCGATTTTTTTAGGGTTTCCGTATGGCTCCTTACAGACCTCAGGACTACAACCGTGTTTCTGGTACAGCCAGCCGTGTCAAACCACTTTTCTAGCGGACCAAGGACAAGACTAATTTAAACTATAATTTTTATAATTTACACATGTAAAACATCAAAGAGAATACAGAAGATGCACAGTACAAGATCAAACATGCAACGATTATAAAAGTGCTTTAGAAAAGGTGTTTTTTGACCATTTCCATTTTAACTATTGTTAAAACCATTGAATTTTCCCAATGTTAATTAAATAAACTGTAATTTAATTAATGTGAGTGCAGTTTTGTTTTATATGTCTTATTATGTTTGTGCTGATCTCCTCTTGGGAATACAGTAATATAGACATATGTTTACCAAATTTAGATGGTAAATGTATGGCTGATGTTTTTTATCCAAAGCACAATCTACAGCTGGGTATTTACATTGCTCAGGCTCCAGCTGTAGTGCCTCATCCTGGATTTGAACCTGCAACCTTCCAGTTGAAGGGTACCACAGTTCCCCAGTACAAATTCTACACGATAGACTTAAAGAATACCTCAAATACCTTAAGCTAATAACATCTGTCTTTAGTTTTACAAGGTTCCTGCTTTAGGTTAAATACACTGCAGCCTGTACACAGCTATTGCATAAGCTCTGCCATCTTCCTTCATCATCACATCTGGAGCTGGTTTGTATGAATTTCACTAGGGGCCTCAATTTACGGCCCCAAAAGAATGCTATTAGTTCTTTTCCCTTTAGAAGGTACATCTGGAATCACTAGCAGTTTTGTAAAAATGCATTTTAGCCTTCTTTCATCTTTGCATCTGCAGTGTTTTATCAAAGGAGGACAGAAGAAAATACTCTGTTTGGTCAATAGTTGCAGCAGGTTTAGGATGAGTTCTTTCACATCTCACTGATGGGAATTATAAATTCACTGGCAGACCAGACTCAGGTGTTGCTCAAATAGGATTTAAGAGACCCTATTGTGCTCTCTTAAGAGGAGAGCACAGTTAGTTATTCATGTTAACTGTCATTAAAGAACTATTTAGAGTTCATTTAGAACTCTTTAGAGCTTTAAAGAACTCTAATAGTTAGGTTTAAGTCCTTCATAAGCCTAAGTGTCCCATAAGGTTCCAATTTATCCCACGTTTTGTAGTGTTAAGCATCCTAGGAGTACAACACTCTCCTTGATTGTGATATGGTGGCCGAGGAAAAACTGGACTCACTCTCTAAAATAAAAAAAATCTCCAACACAGAAATAAAATTTTAAAAGAACACAGGATTGTATTTTGTTCAGAGGTGCCAAAACTATTGTGTCACTTGGCTGTTTCCTACAAAATGTGGTGGGGAAAAATGTAATGAGATGCCAAACAGTCTATAAATGCTTCTAATTTCATTAAAAAACAAGAAACAAACAGAGTTTTTTGTAATCATCCTTTGCATGATTCAGAACCAAGGCAATTCAAGTTCAGACTGCTGCACATCTGAATTCTGAAGGTGTCCTTTACAAATGCTGAGGGAAAGTTTGAATCAATGATCTAAAAGACCAAAATCCATATGGACAAAGTCCCTGTTGCAGGTCTTTATCAGCCCTTGTGTCTCCTGGGTTGCTGTTGACATCACATTAAGTTATGTTAGAGACCCACCCTGTGAGAGACGGAGAATGCCATGTAGTGGGACCGAATACTTGAAAACAAAATGGCAAAAGAGAGGCTGTTTAGGAGGTGAAGTATGAGCGTTCTGTGCCCTGCTTTCCTCTTGTCTGCCTGTGAGCACGCCATGGTGATTCATTGATAACTGTGGGGCAGAGGGGGATGGAGCTCAGGGCTGGGGGGGGACCGATTGAGCAATGGCGTGTGTGTGGAGATCACTAAACTGGCAACTCCCCCCGCCATCTCTTTTTGTCTCTTCGCACCACCGGCCGGCACAGCCTGTCAGTCAGTTACTTCCAGAACACACCAGCAAGTGAAAAGATAGTGTAAGTCTGTTTTCTTTCCAGGTACAGCATGTCCCTGTGGGGAAGACCATTTAAGATAGCTATCAGTGAAAACAGAATGGGATTTTATAATACCCTGGGAGTAATATATAGAGTTTCCACTTTTCTGGACTGCTGTTCTAGAAAGGATAGTGCCATACATATATCGTATATCGTATGCAGGCTCCCTTTCTCTTACTTAGCCCTGATACAGCAGCACATTTCCAGAATGGTAAATACGTCTACTTGCTTGGAGTAAAATCCTTTGGTTCTCTTTGTTATTTGCGGGTTATTGTAGATATGAGATGCAGACGTCTGAGTTCTGAATGGGTTCAAAAGATGGAAAGGAGTCCCACTGTTCCTATTGTCAGGTCTTTAGACAGAAGAGGGGCTTCTAACATTCCATTTAGAAAAAGGGCAGCACTGTGGTGTGACAGTTAGCACTGCCGCCTTGCAGATCTTGGGTTCTGGGTGCTGTTCTGGACTGAGGCACCTTCTGCATACAGTTTGCATGTTACCCCCGTGGTTGCATGTGTTTTTGCCTTGTGGTCTGGTTTCCTCCCACCTTCCACAGACTCGATGGCACAGAACTGATGCATATAATGGTCACATTTACATTATTTGCACCCAATTGCATAACTGGATATTTCACTGGAACAAATAGGGTGGGGTACCTTACTCAAGGGTGCAACAACACTGTCTCACCTGGAAATTGAACCCACAGCCTTGCAGTTGCAGGTAAAAAATCCCTAACCACTGTGCCACACTGCTTTGTGTATGGTGTGCCTTGGGGTGGACTGGCATCCTATCCAGGGTGTAGCCCAGCCCTACTCCCTATTCTGACCGCATGTTGCCACAACCCAGGAATAAACTCTGTCCATGAAGGTGTGTGGAATCATCAGTCACACAATCAATTGATTTAGTGGTTTACGCCCAGTTCTGTCACTTCTCCTAAGTAGCACATAACAGTTAAAAACAAGCGCTTCTACAAAGAAATAAACCAAGCCATGTCATTGCCTAAGAGGCTACAGAAAAAACCTTGTTCATTTCCTTTGGCATTTACACTGGTTATTTTGTAGTGATCACCTCGAAGAATGCAGGATGCGCCAGTTCATAGTAGATGTAATGAGAGGTCGATGTCTAAGTTGGTATCTGCTGGGTGATTATCTCATGATATCCATTGTATATCTTTTTATACACCCTGTTATGAGCTGCACTACTCTTTCCTGAAGCACAGAACATTCTCTCCTTAGTCCCATTTAACACTCCTGCTGTTGATAACTGCAGAGCATCATCAGCAGTGACAACAAACCCTGGCTTTACTTCTGACATTTGGGCAATTTTAACAGTTTCCATAGCGACTCATTGTGTGTGTGTGAGAGAGAGGTTGACATTGTTTCGTGACTCAGGGCGGTGCTGATTTGATTTCTTGTTCTTTTTATTTCGGTGCCTGTCAGGTGAGGACTGAGGGCCTGTTTGAATAGCTTGTAAAAAGCCAGGTTGCGATAATTTCCTCTTTGAACAGCTGCTGCCCTGGGTCTATACAGGATGCTGAGCAGTGTCTGCATTCATTGCTGTAACTCATTTGGAACATCCCATATGCTCATGTATTCATATGAGAGGCATATGGAACATTTTTGCTATATTTATAATGCTGGAGAGGGTTTTTATGATATTACATATAAAAAATATATGTATATGTAAAATAGCTTCTTCTAGCATTACACCATTTTCTAGCATCTAGCGTGTTTGAATTGTGAAAGTTTTCTTAAGTAAAGTGTCTCTCGTTTTTAATTAAAGTGGAAATGTTTCATCGGCAATGGTTTAGTGTTCTAGAAATCCTCACAAACACCTTGATGAAGAGAAATGGTCCTTTTTCCATAATTCTTCAACTGGAGCAGGGTTATATTTCTGCATCTCTGTTAATGATTTTAAGCAACTAAATGTAGTAGTAGTTTTAGTTAATAGCAGGGTAGTTTTTTAGTAAATTATGACAGTCATCTTCGATGTAGCATGAGTATATATTTTCAGTAGTTTGGAGATTTAGACATTTTTGTAGTAAGCTGTTGTCTTGATTCTGTTAGAAATGTGTATTTCCCGCCATTTGATTTTGATTCCACAGGTGTGCTTCGAAATCTGCAGTTAACCTTCTTTCTTTTTTTTTATTTCTTTGAACAGTGCAAGTACTGTAGTTTGATTTAATTGAAGTATAAGCTAAGATACAATATATCGACAGTGAATACCTGGAAAAATGTGAACGTACAGTTGAACACGTCCTGAGTCCCTATACTCTTCAATAGCACAGTATTTTTCACCCCCCTTATCTATATTATGTGGACTGTAGGATCAGTCCTGGGAAGATATTTAATTTATATTCATTTTTATTTGCCTGTTTATTCTTCTAACTAATGGGTTTAATTTTGGAAAATATTTGTACCCAAAGCCCAAATTAACTAGCTTTGTTAGCTTTGTCTTTCTGTATAAATGTTTTTGTATGTTTTTTTTTTTCAGAAAACAAATACAGGCTTACAGAAGAATGGGAATAAATCAGATGTTATTGTACAGAATTAAGCTTTACAAACTCCAGCCCACTAACATCCCATTCATATACGGATTGGAGATAGTGCCATCATTACTAAAAGACTGAGGGGAGTCTGTCAGCTTGCTTTGTTTCCATGGCAACTTTCTATAAAGAGAGATAGCATTGGTCAGGAAATTAAAACACTGATGGCAGGCTGCAGAGTAAACAGATAGATTTTATTTATACGATGATAGGGGCTGGAAAAGGCAACAACAATAAGAAAAATAAAACAAGAGTATGTGTGGACAGGGCAAAATATAATTACCCAGACTGTTTGCATTTAAATAAGGTTGGAAAAGGAAGTGAGAAAAAAAATGCAGTGTCTTGCCACATCACTGACCTGTATTGCAGTAACTGCAAGAGTTTCATCCAGGACTCTTGCAAACAAATGCAGATAAATCTGTATGATCTGCAAATGAAAACAACTGGGAATTCAGGAGCTAGGTTATCACATTGGAATTTTAAAGTGAAACATGTTCAGATGGCTGAAATATCGCTACGTGGTTCGTGTGAATGTTGATATTTTAATCTTCACCAGTGGAATTACTGTCTCTGTTTGAAGCCTGGTTAATTTCCTTTATGAAATCAGCCAATATGTTCAAAGAGCAAAATGCTCTCATAGAGAATGTAACTATGAATTTTAAAATTCATTGTTGCACTGCCCAGCTTATTCATTCATCTTCTGTAATGACACGGGTCCACCTGAAATGTGAAGCACCCACTGGATGCAACAAAAGTTTGTCCCATCAGTGATGTTTCTTCCCTTAACTAACCCTCTCTTCCACACAGATGTGCTGAATGATGCCATTTTTGATGAAGATCACGATGAGATGGTAATAGTGAAGGACATTGACATGTTCTCCATGTGTGAGCACCACCTTGTGCCCTTCAATGGCAAGGTAAGGATGATCACTCCTCCTGCTCTTGTTCTCTCTGTGTCTCTGAGAATGGAAAAACAAAAATCTTTTGTTAGGAAAACGATGCCTTAGTTAAAGGAATATAGGTACCTGTCATTGTGAGGTACTGACCAACAAGCCAAGACAGCTGAACCAGTTGAATTGCTTATATGATTGAAGTCTCCCCACTGCATACTGTACAACATATTAGTATGTTAATGAGTGATATGCATTCATAGACAGTATTCCTGCATTGTATTATCTCAGCCTCTCTGCATAGTGCAGGAAGTGTCTGCTACATGAGTATTTGAGCAAATTATTTCATTTCATAGGAAATCTCAAATCGATGACAGATAAGTTTTGAAAAGAATGTCCAAAAAGAGATACAATGGCCCCTGCTGCTAAATCTCAGTGCTACGGCAATTATAGAAGTTACCCTTCAACATCAACTCCTGTAGCTACAACAGAAATGGTGCCTCAGAGGCTAAGGATCTGCGCCTGTGGCTGGAAGGTTGCTGGTTCGTATCCGTTCTACTCTGTTGGGCCCCTGAGCAAGGCCCTTAACTCCAACTGTTCCAGGGGTGCCTTATAAATGGCTGACCCTGCGCTCTGACCCCAAACTTCTCTCTCCCCATCTGTGTGTCTTATGGAGAGCAAGTTGGGGTATGTGAAAAGACAAATTCCTAACACAAGAAATTGTATAAGGCCAATAAAGTGATCTTATCTCTTATCTTAAATATAGGAAGCTTCCATGTAATGGAAGCTCCTAAACTGTTTCATTATGAAATTGTGTCATAGATACATTATGCAAGCAAACCTGTCCCAAAGATGGACCTTTGAGAAATAATAGACTTATGAAGCTTCAGCAGAAGCTTTTCAGCAGATTCCTTAGTTTGTGCTGCAGTTTTCATGACGTTGATGTACTGAATTTTACTCTGTATTTAACATGGAATTTCATAGTGGACTGTTATGAGGGTTTCTTCGTGCATATCACACAGTATCTGGACTGTAAAAAGAAATCATTGTTTTGCTTTAATTTTCTTACCAGCAGCAGATATTTTTGTTTGCTAACAGAGCAGGGTAGTGCCTTTAAGGTTTGTATTATCAAATCTACACAGGTGATGGAAAGACTCTAGATTCCATCTCTAAATATCCGATATTAACTTGGTCAGCAATGTAACGCTGCCAGCCAGGGAACACTTTACTTCACGGAAGTAAAATATAGAAAGGAAAGATTACGTCAGTTGGAATATCTCCTCCCAAAAGGTTCTTTCAAAATTCACTCACTTTGACTCAAGCGGTGACTGATTTCATTCTCAGTTTTTGACATTTTAATACCCTCAATCCTCCTCATCTTGCCATTTAAGACAAAAGAGAAGCAATCGATCAATTTCAGCGTGTAAATAGCCTTGATGATAGCAGGAGCCGTTGATCAAAACACCAGAGGAAAAGGTTTTTCTGCAATTCTGTTTGTCAGCTACCATCAGGCGATTCCTGTCTGACAACTCCTGCCTCCTCTCCCTCCTGCTGATAGCTCCCTGTCGTCACCAGCGTGGCCTTATCTCCACATCTGTTTACCTCGCAGCTCCAGGAACAAGATAATGACTCACCAATTTCTCCAAGAGTCTCATTTTTTCATTTTTCATTCATGACTAGCATAGGGTTGGTATCTCATTTAGCCTGCAATATTGTGTTAACCCATTAGTGCCTGTCATTGCTAGTGATATAATAAGTATATGCTGTAGTGATATAATATTTGCTATTAATTTAACATTTGAAAATATATATTTTTTAAGTTTTAGACAGAGCTTAACATCATAATTGCACATCACCATTGTTATTCAAGCAGAAATTTCATTCTGAACAAAGATTTTCAGCAAAATGGCTTATCTATTTAAGGAAATAAAGTGTTTTATAAATGCAGAATACTCTATTAGCCATCTTAATGTAAACGTGAATCATAATACTGGTTTTCATAGACAATGGACAATGTTTTTAATTTATAACGCATTCCGCTAGTGAAAGCGGTTAGTCTACATAAGTCTGTGGTTTCTGCATTAGGGCTAGTCATGACATTTTCTGAAATGCTGCCCATCAGGGTGCTGGAATTTGAAAAGTGGTCGTTTTTCAGGAATAACCACTTGAGCAGAGTTAGCCCACCACTCTATTGGATTCTGTTTTGTCCTGCAAAAACTGTGTGTAAAAACATATCTGTGTGCTTACAAACATGAACATTTAAAAATAAAGAGATCAGCTGGAATAGCCTTCGTATTTAGACAATTTATTATTTTTCAGAAGCTTGTAGTTTTAAAGACTGGTTTTAAGAAACGAATTTGTGGCCATGCTAAATATGTACATTTAGGGAAAGAGGCCTTTCTTTGACTATTTGCTGTAAATGGATTGATTTCCTATATCTTTGATTTTGTTGTCACCCTGCTGTAGCCTTTGAGAGCCAAGAACAGTGGACTTGGCCAACTGCACCGCTAGAAATATTGAGGACAGTCCCTCCTCGATAAAAGACAATGGACAGCAATAACACTTTAAGAAATAATAATTGGAGAACATTAATGAATGCAATTAGCCATGGCAGCAGTTAAGTTTTGTGCTTTCCTGTGAGTTATCACAACCAGGCAGCTTTAACTAGAAAATAGCAGGGGAAAAAAGATAACTGCCCTCATACTGCCCTTTTTTGTGGACTGTCTAATCAAATTGCTGTTGACATTTGAATGGAGACGCAGAGAGGGGGAGAATCCCTAGGAGGCAGACCTCAAGTATTTAACTGTTGAGGAGCTCATGGCAGCTCGTGCAGCAGATGCCTTTTTGCTTTGTGAGTGTTGTCTAGCCCATCCTCAGGCTTGAGCAGGTGATAATATCCATCCCTCTGGCACTGCCCAGATTCACTGTAACTTCTTCACAGGCTGTTGATCACAAGGCTTGATACCCCTACTGCACATGAGCCCTAGAAAAGGCTGCTGCAGCTTCTCTAACTCACAAGATACTCTTATTTTATAAGGCCTGAGCAAATTTACAGCTGGAACACAAGCAAAAAATACCTAATAATAAACTGAGGTGAAAATACTCTTAGGGAGACCTTTTGTGTTCTACGGCATTAATAGGACTGTGCAGAGATACAATATTTTTAATTAAATGAGATGTAAAAATGTTTATTACACAACTGGCACAATATGCTTAATTATTTTTCATACAGGTTTTTTTTCTGAACAAGTAAAAAAGAGTAATGTGCCAGTTTTTTTTTCTATCGGTACAATTGGTTTACGTTGATGTAACAAAGGTGAATTTGTAATTTTTCTTTCCCTCAACTTTATTGCTTCATATTTTAACATAAAATGGGAGAACACATAAAAAGGGAATAGGAAATAAGCATTTAAAAAGCACTTTATTACACTGGCATCCATAGAAACATAGTGGAGAGTTAGAACTGTATTGTAATTACTAGTATTAGTATTGTAATTCTGCTTAGAGAACTGATGAACTGTGAAGTAGATTCTAGATTATGCATGTTACACAGGCTTTCTGAGCTTAACTGTAAAAAAGAGACTCTGCTCTACTTTCTAAGCTCTCTAAATCTCAATAAGCAGACAGGTTCAGTTACGTTCTTCCCGTGCATCTCATATCCCATTAATAGGGAAGGTTTCCCCTTGAACGTGTTTTCGTGTTTTCCAGGTGTCGATTGGATATTTGGCCAACAGAAAGGTGATACAGTAGGTGTCAGCAAGCTGGCCAGGTAATGAGATGTGGCTGTGGCCTGTACGTGCTTAATCACATACAGGCCTTCTGACCTCAACTAACTCCCTCCCCACCCCCACCAAATAGGCAGTAGGTGCTATCCCTTCCAGTTTTGATCTGCAGGTGTTCCCATGGAACCTACCGTGCATTTTCCTTACCCTGTATACAAGCACATGTGCCATTAGTAAATTAATAAACTACAAGTAAGAGGTCCACCCTTTTTCAGTGCGGTAACTTCTGCTTTTAGAAATCGGACTTGTTACTGATCACAGGTGCCTTATGGGATGTGAGAGACATGGGTATCTAGGAACTTTCAGGGTGTCTTTGACAGCTGCGAATGACCTTATGATTCAAACTGTGCATTTAAACAGCTTGGACTGCATGATGTAAATAGAAGGTAGTTCAGTGCTTATCTTAAGATCTGGTCACCCCTTCAACTTTTACTTTCTGGTTGGCTGCTCAACCTGTGCAAATGCTATACAGTATATCCCTGAATTGTGCCAACCTTGTAGGACAAAGTGGAAGGATTTGTGTGGTCTAGGTATGTACAATATATACAGTAAATGGGTGACAAGGATTTCATATAACCACACGTTTCATTTAAGCTTGAAAATAGTTTTTTTTCAGAGCTGGTGGTTCCCCAGACATGGTAAATTCTGTTTTTTGTAGGATCAGTCTGCACCATGATTATTAGCACCTCGATAAATCCTTCTAATTGCTAGTGAGCACTGAAGACAAGCCAGTAACTTGTTCCTATTAGAAAAACCTTCCCTGAACACTGCAGTAGAAATTAAAGAAAACAAGTGATTGTGTATCATATAAAGTTACCATTTAAAAGGAGGGATATTGATAGAAATGGCTGCTCTGACTTTAGGCTCGAAATGACAGCTGAGGCAGCACTAGATAAGCTAAAACATTAATCCAATGCAGATTTTTTGAGAACCGAACACCTTTAAGACCACGGAACACGAATAAAGACTGAAGCAATTTGAGAAAACATTTCCCCAGTTGTTTCTCCTGCTTCTCCTCTGAGATGTGATATTGGCAGCATTTTCATCCAGTCTCTCTGAAAGCTTTGTGTTCAAATATATTGTTAGCCCTTCCCTGAAGAGCTACTGTAAGTGTCTCTCATTCTTCCCCCTGGTGCCTCCGTTAAGCTGGCCCTATATCTTTCCTTGTGTCCTACAGGTGCACATAGGCTACCTCCCCAACAAGAGGGTGCTGGGCCTCAGCAAGCTGGCCAGGTACGTCGTACTACGTCTGCTACACCCAGACCTTCTCATCACTATCATCGCTGATGGCCCATCTGATTCTGTTTGGCTCAACTAATGCACTTTGTCAGATTGATTTACAACCATTGACTGCTGATAATTTGTCCTTTGACACAGATGGCATGCTTTATTCTTCACAAACCCCTAGTCTACAAAGACCTTTTGCTTTAAAAGACCTTTTGCTTTCTGCATTCTTTGCACAGGGTGTATCTGAATAGTTTTGATATACCCCCCTGTTGCCTGTGAGCTTATATCAGAAGTAATATGAAACTAGTATGAAAAATTACATGCAATTAATGGTATAAAGAAAATGAAGAATGAGATATCACTTTCTAATTATATTATGAAATTAATATGTTAAGCCAGAAAACTGCAGATGAAGAATTCAGTGTTGAGTGGTATAAACAGTACAATATATATCGGGACCATCCCTGAAAGCAGATGATTAAGACATGAAGGGCTTGTGAGCAGTGAGTCTTCTCTGGCCCTTGCTGATGTTGTCTGAAAAGAGAGCTAAGTGTCTGTAAGATGATTACAAGATGATTACGTGTGATGTGCCACTGACTGGGGTGACTGATCCAGTCTGACCTCAATACAAGGCTTACCCCTTTCTCTGTGACTTGGTGAATAGTATCACCCACTCCTTCACCTCAGACACAGTCCCACTTGTGCAGCGTGCTGCCAGGATGTATTTCTGTGGCTGGAGCTACCTGGGGTACCTGCTCAATTGGATGTGAAGGGACACAAGTATATAAATGCAATGCAATGCAAAACTGTCTTTGTCTGGTCTTCTAAATTATACTTACAAAGTAAACAGCAGTACCTCTTTTTATCCTGTGGCAGCCTGTGACTTGATCTTTCATAATTATGAAGAAGATAGAGATTACAAAAAGGATCATTGCAAAGAACACATTTATAAGAGCCTGACAGAACTTAGAAGCACTTAAATTACAATTAAATTGCATGGTGCATTAAAGCATAATGCTAAATACTTCTCTACAAATGACAAAGTCACACCATTTTGAAATTAAATTCGACAATATTTTATCTGCTGCTTCATGTTTCAAAGAGTTCCTAATCCTCCTCTGACATTTACTGCTGTATCAGGAAAGCTGTCCTCATACATTGTCGTTAGACTACAAACGTGGAGCCAAATATGAGCCAATCTGCTGTGAAAAGAGTAAGGGTCAGGAGGTAACAGAGCAGGCAGTGGGTTTGACCAGTTCTAGTCTGAAGAATGTGCTCACAAATGACCATCATTAATTTTACAGAAAGGCTGTCTTATGACTGAAAGTTTTAAAGGTAGTAGGGAACAATAGCTTTTAATGTCTTTTCATACAATCCCAGCTGTACCTACAGTATGTGTAAGGTTCACTTGTATTTTAAATCTGATAAGATAAGCTTCTGTGTGTCCAAGGATCAGAATTTGGCAGTGCAAGTCTTCTAGTCCTTGTTTGTTCACGTAATCCTGTTTGTGTCTGTGTGTTTAAAATCCACTTGTTTTGCTGTAGAATAAGTAATTAAACTTTTTTTCTTCTTCCAGGATTGTTGAAATTTATAGCAGACGATTACAAGGTAATTTTTTCTTTGGAACATACTGTTATTTGGGCTTGTCTGTTTTATGCTACTGTATTCTAATTGTGTGTTACCATCATAAAATGCTGGCCTGTTTATGAGTTTGTAAAAATACCAGGCACTAAATGGTTGTTGTTTGAGTTTAATTAAAATAGCCAAAATGAGCTGATTAAGAATCTGTGTAAACAGCAATTCAAAAATGAACTGCAAAATGATTATAATTAACAGAAGAACAACAAAATGTAAGACTATGTTCTGCTTGAATCCTGATTTTACAAGGTTTGAATTTGAAACATGCCTGAGATTTGCTCAAAAATCAGAAGACTAGTCCAGACAAATGATGAAACTGGCTCTGTGATGAACAGACAATGTCCCAGAAGGCAAAGGGTCAGAACTCGGCCCCGGAACTCTCATGACTGTCTCATGTATACAGATTAGATCTAAGTCTGATCTATGCAGATCTATTTTTAGACAAATTTTGAAGTAACTGCATCAAATAAAATAATCAGCAGAATGACTGTAGCTCAAATCATTTTTTACTTGAAAATGATCTGCATACTCGGAGGCCAAAGTGTTATGTTGACTTTGAGTTGTTCAGGCCAACTGAAGAGGCAGTGGAAGTCTGATAACATGAGGAAGATTCTCTATTTAACACAAGAACACCTTTGGTGTGAATTTGCGATGAACTTACTGCTTAGTCATAAATTAACAATGTGGTTGTGCCAAAACCTGTTTCATTCCTGCAAGCCAATCCAGATGTGTCGATTCTTCCAGAATAACAATGCAAGACCACAAAGTACTACGATAACAGTGGCACAACTTTAAGAAAACATGTGGAGAATTTGATTAGCTTTGGGTGGCTTTTTTTCCTTATGTGAGGCTTATAGAACATCTTTGGAACTGGCAACAAAGGGAGTCAAACACAACTGCCCAACCTTCACCAGCTGGTGAGGAGTGGCAGGACATCATACAGCACTCTGTCCAGAGGCCCGTCAGGTCTATCAGCACTTATTAATGCAAGACTGCATCAATACTGAGGAACACCTTGTGATATCATGATTCTTTCTTCTGTAGTTTTGTTCAGATTGTCTGTGATTTTTTTGGATCTCTACAGTACATTTAAAATATTTAATCCATTAGATGTGAATATTCCATTTCTATCGTAGATGATTATCAGTTTTAATTCACAACTGAAACGGAACAGTGACCTTCAAGTGTTTATTTTAAGTAATATCCCTGCAGCAAAAAAGTTAAGGTCAGCTAAGAAAAAGGCTTCATGGATTCTTTTGAATTAATGTATCGCAAAACACCTACAGAAGACAGCTCCCACAGAACTTATTGAATGAAAACAGAAACAACAACAATGGTATCTGCACCAGATTCATAATTTTGACTGTACTTCTTTTGTTAAAATTAGAAATGCATAAAATTAGAAATGCTGTGGAGGTGATTAGCATTAGCACATTTTGCACATTGTGTATCCCATTGCTGTGCATTGTCATCACTTCCACGGCTGGTATATAACGACAGATCATTAAAGATATCGGAGGGGCAAACGTTCAGGAGTTCAAAGACATAAGAATGACAGTGTTTATTTCTGTCTTTCTCCGTTTCAAGTTCAGGAGCGGCTGACCAAACAGATTGCTGTTGCCATCACTGAAGCACTACAGCCTGCAGGAGTGGGAGTTGTCATTGAAGCCACGTATGTTTGACAGTGCCTATTGCTGCATTTCAGATTTTCAAACAGTCATTTTACACATATTTACATGTAAAGGTGCTCCATCTGGGTGCAGCATATTTATTGTCCAGCTACTGTGTACAACATTTTGAACATTAGAATGATATGATTCACATGATGCCAGTAACGTATATTTTAAAATACAATAATGAGTATAGGAGAACAGTATATTCAGCCATTAATTTTCCGGTTTTAAAGATGTCGTGTCTCTGTCTTCAGTCACATGTGCATGGTGATGAGAGGCGTCCAGAAGATGAACAGTAAGACAGTGACCAGCACCATGCTGGGGGTCTTCCGTGAAGACCCCAAGACCAGGGAGGAGTTTCTCACCCTCATCAAAAGCTGAGTCATCCCGGTACTTTTGCCAAATGCCATCTCTCGGAACACAGCACCCCTGCCAGAACGCCTCTCCGGGACAGACCCAAAACAAGGCAGAGTTCCTGAGGCCGATCTGGAAGATAGCATTCTTTGACCAAAACATTTCTCTCTGAACCATCGCCATCGTGAATCATCATCATCTCACTGCCCAACTCATTCTTTTTTCAAATCCATATTGTGCATCTAAAGCGATCTGATGTTTTCTTATGTGAAGTGTGTCTCTGTCTTGAATCTTCAGAGTTTATCAACTGTGAAGAGTTTGGGTCTAGAAAACCTGCAAGAAATTATTTGGCTGTCACTTTCAGTTCTGTTTGAAGTATTCAGTATATGGGTGTAAGAAAAAAATAACAATGGATATTTAATATTTAATATAATTATTTTATATTAAATTATTTAATATATATTTTAAAATATATATTTTAATCTCTAACATTAGATTTAAACAAATAATTCCCTGCTATGGAAAATATTTTCTTCAAATTAAAGCTCAAGTAATAACTAATTAACAGTTATGAAGTAATGCCAAAAAGCTGAAAAAATGCCTTCATCAGACATAAGATGTATAACATTGTACCATTTTTTCTTTGAGATGCAGTTGAGACCAATACATTTAGTAAACAAGTTTTGGGTGTTTTAAAGCATCAGAGTGATATTCTAATAATAATAGAATTAAAAAATTGAGTTATCATTGACCTTTTGACAGAATATTTCCTCAGCCTGTATCACAAACTTCAATATCCTCCTCAAATGCCCTTGTTTCCAAAATAGATCTAGTGCAAAGTGTGCTCAGCCCACACGTAGGTGCATTTCACTACAAACACAATCATATTTGAAGGAATTTTGGTGTGGTTAAAAGTGATGAGGCAGGTGTCAGAATTCCTCTGTGTATTTGTTTATTCCATTTGCAGTTGTTGTCGGTGTGTCAGTGTTACAAACTATTTCTTTTGGTAATTGCACATGGTGGGTTTCCATTTGATCGGTACTGTTATTATTAGTATCTGCCAGTAAGCAAATTTCTGTTAACTGCCAGGGGTAGTTGGAAGCAAGACTGCGTGCACTTTTTCCCATGAGAGTAAGTGAAGCTTTGATTCAAGAGCAGTTTTTCTGCACATGACATTTTACTTATTACCTGTTAAGTTATTACCAACAAGATGAAATGTCGATGAAAGTCTTCAACACTATTGCTAGACATAAGCAACATATTTTTGTAATTATTTTTTATTGTAGTCGTTTACATTTGAAAGAGAAAGTTAAAATTACCTATTGATTGAATTTATTAAGTAAAATATTAATGATCATAAACTATTGTGCTATTGATGTTATCAGAATTGTATGTTATGTTTTTTTTTGCAAAATACAGTGTATCCCACAAGAACCTTGGTAGTTTTTTTTGGTGGTGGTTAGAAATAATACTTTAAGCCTGGATTATTTTCTACCAGCACATTCTAACAGTGTAGTGATCTACTACCTGATTAAAACATTTTTTACAAATGAATAGTTTTTTAAGTGATTGTTTTGTTGTGCCGTTATCTGTAGCGCAATATATAGGGCTAGTATTTGATTGCCTAAGATGCGGTGAAACAGCAGTACACCGAAACAGCAGAACACTCTCAGCCACCAAATAGGGATTTTAGGGAAGCCTTATACTTGCCTGTGCTATCCATTTGAGCTACAGCGTTACGATGTTACCTGAAATGGCATCTTTAAGTACCAAACGTACAGTACAAATACTGCTTTCTGGTGAAGAAAATGATTTCATAGGTGGGTAAGTATTCACCTCTATTTTAAGTTATGGAAGACCAAATGAAAATATCTGCAGCCTTTCTAACTGTTCCAATTAAATCCTTTTGAATTGCTGAGGAACTGCAAACAATGTGGTCTTTAAAAAGTTGACAAGTTTGCCAACTAAATGCAGTAACAATTTGTTGTGAACCACTCTCATGAGGGGTAAGGCATGCACCTTGGTAAAAAACGAAAACCTTTTCACAAAAATCGGCTGTTTCCTTGTGGTTGACAGTGTGTTCCGCAATGTAGTTAGTACTGACGTGAATTACAAAGTACTTCATGTTCTGAGGTGATGTGTGCTCAATTGTTTTGCCTCTTACAGTTGTATGCATTATAATGATGTATTCTTTTAAGTGTTGTCAAAGCTCAAGATTGAGTATTTTTTGTGAGCGTCATTTAATAATGTTGGGGCTCCACCCCTGTATTAAATCAGATGACTTTATTATGATGTTGAAGTGTCCTTTTGTGTTAAAGTGAAGGTAAATACACAGTAATATTTTATCAATGTACGTCCACTTGTTTTATGCTTGTCCAACAGTGTTGTGGTAGTAATGTGATTACAAATGACAGTGTAAAGTAAAATACTGTATTAACATTCCAAAAATAATATAGAAAGAATGTATTTGTTACCAGTTGTCCTGAACACTTGCATAGTTTGTATTTATGTAGCTACCATGAAAACTAATTTGAACTGCCTATAATAAGCAGACACAGTGATAGAAATAGTTTTTTGTTGCAGAACGCATAGAAATGTACAAACTATTGAATAGTGTGTCCTTTTCTTTTCACGGTCTGATTGCAGAAAACTATGTAGCATACTGAAGTTTTGTAATAATAGTTGGCATCATCTCTCAAGACACCTAAAGAACTGGTTTAAAATGACCAAAGTTTAATATTTTCCAGCACTGGAATGTACCTGCTAGTTATTCAATGAATGTTATTCTCTCTGTTCAATATTTTTCTTGGTGTGCCACTGTGTCTGTGTGTTTGTGTAAGTGTGCAACTAACCCACTGATGACATCCCTCTCACAGGACAATTTATAATTTTAAAGATTTTTGTTAACTTGTGCTTTGGGTAAAAAAAACATTTATTGACTGATAAAATAAATTGTTAAACTCGACTCTTTCCCTAATTTACTTGTAAATACAAAAGCACATACTTGAATTTAAATTTTATAGGATAACTATTTCAATTATTTTTAGCAGTAGGTCTTAAACATTTTAAATCTGACAAAATGCTTAAAAGGTCATTCTCAAGACATTCCTGGTTTAATACAAATCTGATGTGCATGTAAAAATACAGTTTAGCGCTGCAAATAATACACTGCAATGATATCTAGTTCTAACGAGTTTTTCAAACAGAAGGTAGTTGTTGGTGTCTGTAAAGGGAGAAGAATTTCTTTAGTGTGGAAAAGGAAAGCAATGAATTTATCTAGGGCTGACTTCTCTAAACTTGCTCCTGCAGAGTTGCAATGTCTTCATATTTTCCTTACTATCAAGATGTTAATGACTTAGTTGAACTAGGTATTGGGTTATGTGATTGATACTAAAGTGATACTAAATTGATACTTAGCCACCTAGAAAAACCTCAGGCTCTCCAGGACCAGCATCAGATACCCTTGGTTTAGATGGAGGGGTCCCACAGTGGTCTTGTGGCCTTGCCTTACATTTGAACGCCTGAGGTCTGATTCTCCCTCTACTCTCACTGTATATTGTGGAGTTCAAATCCTAATTGTCACATCTCTTTAATTTCTGTCTGTTCATTTTCCAATGTCTGAACAACAATAAAGTAATATCTGTCAAATGTATGTCATATATTTGCATAGTATTATTGCATATGACAAGCTCAGTCACTATTTTTCTTTTGCATGTTGATTTCTGGTACTAGATGCGTTTTTGACGACTGAATTTGGCATGATTAATTATTGGCTTTTCAGTTACATGCAATCAATATGGCAAGCAGCTCACCAAAATTATTAATGAAGTGATGCAGTTTTTAAAGCCATACAATTTTACAACCAAAAGCAAATCTGCACGTTTCAGAACAGAAAGGCAGCTGAATGATTGTTGCATTAATGTGTCAAGGATGTAGAGAGATATTTCAAACACGATGCTTGAATTCAGTTCTTGAGGCCAGTGCTTATCATCAAGCTGAGACTAAATACCTGACATTAATACAGGATGAGCTATGACTGCCTGTTTCTTATTAAAAACTTATTGTCAGAAGAAAATGTCTTTGAATATGAAAAAAAACATTATGCTTCAGGTTGCACAGATGTAAGTCCAGCAAATGTAACCACTTGTTTCAGGATCAAAAGGCACCTAAATATGATGCATCAATCCCAGATATGATTAAAACAGCATGTGAACCATTTACTCTCTGAAGAAATGATTTTTTTTCCCCAGCCTCCAGTTGTTACTTGCATTATTGTAGAGTTGTATACTTCAGTGGCTGCGTTTGCCTGTCATCCTGTATCTCAAAAATTGAAAGGGCACGTTTGAGTGGTGAACTTTATCATCAGGCACTGGTTGCAAAGCGACAAGTGAATGTGAAAAGTGGAATGAAGGCTGTTCAGCCTGCTTCAGGTGTGAGGGGAAAAAAAGGCCTGTTTGCATGATTCCTACTTCAGAAAACATTATCCTTAAAGTTGAATCACACCTTCTGCCTTCTCGCAATGATTCATGTCTTTTCATGCAATTACATATTTCATTCTTTCACAGCTCTGCCTTCATTTGGACACACTTTCTTACCTGTTTTATGTCCATGCTCTCGTGATGTCCTTTGTTGTCTTGCAAGGTTACATCCCTGCCATCTTCCTCTCTCTCCATTACAGAGAGAAGACTCAAGGGCTGAAACATTTCTTCTTTCTACTTTTCAGTGAGGAATTAGCTTTTGCTTGTTCTATTGAAAGTGTAACATTAGTCTGATACTTCCTCATTGAGAACTCTTATTTCTACATTCTATACACCTACGCTATCATGTCTCCAAAATCCTTGATTTGCTACATTCCAGGAGTGTACAATACACACCCATCCTTTATTGGAAACATACTTGTTTAGAATTGCTCCATGTTGTTTAGTGGCATTGTACATGCTGCTGGTTGTCATGATTTTGATTCTTCGTCGGTACGGTTTAATAAGCACATAGCAGCTCATGCCAATGCCCTTAGGGGTTAACCCAACCTATGTATTCCAATCAGAAAAAAGGAGCAATGAGGTGGTATCATTTACGGCAATGGACTTTCCTTGTTTAATGTCAGTTTTACAATGGCCGTACACCCTGGATAGGAAAGAAGCAGGAAACAACCTACTTTGGCTTTACCAGCAATGGGGTTTTCCCGAAATGTAGTTCATTGTATTTCAGTGATAAATGGCAATTGTTCAGACTTTTAAGGTTTTCATTTCCTTGCTAAGAAAACCTGATTTCCTTTAACTATCACATACAATGTTTGGATAAATTCCCCAGAAAGAGTGGTGATGTATTCTGTGCAAGCCTACAATACCCTGTGACACATATTTTCTTATAGTAGATCATGTGTGGAACAGAGTATTGAAGAGATCTAGCCGGTAAATTTAAGTAATTACTGTATGGCAGCCTAAGAACACATTCCCATATTCGTATAGCAGAAATAATCGTGAATGGTTTTTTAAAAAGTGCTTCAGATGTAGCTGTGCTACTCCATTAAGCATGAACCTGTGAAGTGGTAGAGACAATAGTGCAGGAGGGATTTATTTCACTGTACATGGTGTAGTAAAAGATTAAAAAGGCCATTAATACTGTTGCCACAGTGCTCTCGAGTCCTGGGTTGGATGGCTACTTAGGGCACCTTGTGTGTTCTGTGCAGGTTTTCACAAGGTGCTATGGTTTCCTCCAAAGGCATGGTCAGTAAGTTAATTGAAGTGTCTATATCAGGGGTGTCCAATCCTGTACTTGAAGGTATAGTGTGTCTGCAGGTTTTGAGGGTCTCTTTAAAGCAGCAGCACCTGAACAGCTGGGGGAAGCTGCTCAATTTAATTCAGCCAGTAACCAGCTGGTTTAGCTCATTCAGAGTTGAGGTGGATGGAAAACCCACTGATGGACTGGTGTTCTGTCCAGTGTGTAGTTCTTGACTCGTACAAATTGTTTCTGGGCTAGGTATAATTCCAAGACAGGAAAAACCTGCTTTCTGATCATGAATAGATTATATGCAATAATTAACGTTTAGACATTTCACTTCAACCTTTGGAAGTTTTCTCAACCACAGCAAACTATGTCCATGGAGACAAAATAACAAGGGAAGCAATACTTTAGAACAAAGTTATTTTTAATGCTTTTTTTTTTTGTCTGTGGTGGTCACATAGACGTCAAGCACTCAAGACACAGTAACACGCCAATGGACGCACGCTCACCTTGCTGCAAAGTGAACACATATGCTTCTGCCCAGGTAAACACACACAAAATACACACACTGTCACGCTAGAAGTGGAAAGTAATCTGCATCAATGAAGTGCGACGCTGCAAAACTGCATACATACAGAACGCGGACATTGGAACTCCTAACCATGACCTCCTGCCGGAGACGTTTCGGTTCTCCGCTGCTTCCCAAGAGAAAGTGACTAATTGCTTTCTCGCGGAAGGGCGGCAGAGAATTGTTGTTCATTCCCTTGAATTACATGTCACAGTGATCTTCAGAAGCTTCACAAATGCACTGATGTATGCCATGCAATGTGTATCATACTGTTACACTTGTAGCGTACACATATATACAGAGAAACGCAGACACACATACAGGCCTTGTTGTTTGCATACACACACATATGTACATCCATTTGTTTTACAGACAGGTATATTTATAACTTCATATCGGCATTAGAAGTACCTACAGACTAACATGATGAGCTGACACGACGAGTCCGTTGGAGGAAGTGCTCCAATGTTGCCTGGCAGAACGCAGCTCATCAATCAACACCATCATTATAAATGTTTTTTTTTAGCTTGTACTTGCGATATACTATTTTGCTGTTATCAACATTCTTATATCATCATCCCCATCATAGCTGTATGCTTGCTCTTTTTTTAAAGTCCTTATAAAATCACTTATATTTTGGGTAGATGTATGAATACAAAAGAAAAGGCACTGCCATTTGTTATTCTAAATATATGACTTCGCAGCCTCGTGCATGCATTTGTTTAATATAAATTATTTTTTTGTTTTTCTTTTTTTCTTTAAACATAGGATACTCTCTTCAAATATAGATGTAAGCCTGCAGTCAATACAGGACATGGGCTCTTAGGAAGAAAATGCACACAGTAAAGCGGTATTTTACAGTCTGGATGCTCAATTTACAACATAAGCATCATCATTCCAGTAAGATCTATGCTCTACACTGTAATGATCAGTAAAAAAAACAACAACAACAAAATCACCATTCTTTTCATTTATGCTAAATAAAAGTCTGGAATATCACTGTAAAGATTGCTGTAAATACCACAGTTTTACAGAGCCTCTTATTCCTGGGAGCCCTCTGTGTGTAAAATAAGCAAACCATAATGAACGTACAAGACAGCTGCAAAGTGAATACAGTCTTCAAAGGCAAAACACACACCCGACTGCTAGTCTCTGTCATGCACTGTGGACCCTGGGGGGTGGGGGGGGGGTGGGCAGGCTGGTTTCAGCTGTATTCGTCCTCTGCATTTGCTTTGGCATCAGTTGAAGGGGTGGGTGGTTTGGCTTAGGGGACTGTCAATACATAATACACACCCCCCTCTCCCTTCCAGTCTTCAGGCAGGGTACTGATAGTGTATGGAGTCTATGCTCATATCCCCATGGCTTTCCCATGTCCACTACAGGGTGATCATTATTTTTAGGTTTAAAGGACATAAATTATGGTTTAATCTGACAATAACAAATAGTGTATGAGACACAAGGTCCTAATCTCCTTTATTTGCCTTTTCATCAAGATTCCCTCTTATAAAGCAATCACAGTCAGTTCTGCTTCTCTATAAACTGCTGTTCATTACACAGCAAGAGAACAAAGATGTCTGGTTCATGGGTCTAACAGATGGGTCAAATCTTTTTTTTAATACCACATTTTAGCATGTTTTAAACAGAACTCCAGTGCATGGTTTTCTTTATTCTATATATATATCCCTCTATTTTAAATGTATATTATTTTATTATGTGGCCTTAGGAGGGAGATGAACCCATCCGACTACCTTAAACTTAACTTGCTACACAAAATATAAATGTGATGCGTCTATTGTCCATAGTTGTGAATCCCGTCACCCTTTACAGTACTGATGAGTTTGGAGGTGAAACCATTTACAGAAAGAAGCATTGTGGGCTTTGTATTGCCAGGGGATTAACATTTAGATATCAAAAGGTAACACAAAAACCTACAGGAAAAACCAACGTCTCTTCCATACTATAAATTGACATAAGCGATTACATTAAAAAAATTAACTATGTTAATATTTGAGATGTACTTATGGTCACCAGCCATAGCAAGATAATACATACGGTATCTTAAATAATACATTTAATGAATATAATAATCACCTCTGCAACAGTAATTGGAAAAAAAAAGAATAAATAATTTGAATCTGCAAATATTTTTCTTTCTAATTTATTAATATGGTAACAACATTAAGTAGCTGTAATTACAATCTTACTTTGTCTAAAGAGGACATGTAACTATTGTGCAATTAATGCCACTTAATGTTTACCAGCTACTCCAACAGAACTGCTGACAAGGCAACATGCTCTATAAAATTTGCATCACCATGCATTCAGACACTAAACACTATTTTGTAGAAAAAGCTTCTCAAAATTGTATATGAGGGCTGAACTGCTGCGATTTCTCAAAGAATCCATAAGATCCGACCATGCAAAAAACACAGCTTTCTTTCTAAACCTGTATGGCTTTCATGTAGTGTTACACTTCTAACATTTCTGCCACACTAGAATGCACATTTGATCATTCTTAAGGCATGGAAAAACAGAGCAGTTACTCTGCTGAAATATCCTTGCATACAAATGTAACTGTTAAAGACCACATTATATGGCATGAATATTACCCCTTTCACACACTTCACCTCGGCTCCTGCTGCTACTGCTGTCACTGAGACCCATCAATAACTGCTGTACAGTACATCTGGCACTGTGCCTTGGCTGGCACTGAAGCCCACTGGCTAAAGCTGCTTCTTTCCAAAGACATCTCAGGTCTCACCAAAGACAGAATGTTCTAACTCGTGCTAGAACACCAGGGGTACAGCATAACTGCTTGAAAACAATACAAGTGTTCTATCTCCCTTAGGAGTTTAATTTGCTTGTTCTGTGTGTGTGACGGTAACAGACTGAAAAAAGGATCACTTATGGAACCACTTTGGCAGGTTAGTGAAGGTCCACGCTGCACAGGGGACAGAGTGAGCACATTGCTAGTTAGACCAACATAATGTGAACAGAGGTGCACAGCACATATCATGAACATGACATTAAAAGTCTGAGTCTCCCTGCCTCTGCTCAACAGTGACTGATGCAGATATGTGATGAAAACCTCTGTTTCAAAAGAATGACATTCATGCACTACACTGAGTGACTGAGCACTTTGCATCAGAAAGAAAATGAAAACCACAGGTCTGCACTTTGAGAGAAAAACCTACCATATAAAAGTGCTTTCTGAAGCGGTTTCACAACAGCAAGGTGCAACTAATTCAATCATTTAAAAAATAAATATTTGTTCATCGAAGGCTGCACTCTTATATGGGGTTTTCATACCCTTACTTTAAACTCACGTTGTATTAGTAGATCTTGATAATGAATAGGATTTGCCAAAACCCAGTTAAATGGAGCTTTTCAATGAAAAAAGTGACCTTCAGAATAGAAATGCGTAACTCCATACTGTGGCCTGAAAAAAAACTGCCTCTCTAGACATCTACTGTACGTTACTCCTTAATTCAGCTTTGTAATAAAGGTACACAACTGAAAAGGCTTTTACAAGATCAAAGATCGCTATATTTCATTAAACTGCCAACTCCATCAATTAAGACAATTGAAAATATAAAAAAAGCAGAACAAATCTAAGACTAACAATCAGGTTTGTTTACAAGGAACATGAATAAAGAATTTAAAAAAATGTGCAACTGCACTGTACTGTATTTGGCCACCAGGTGGAACTAAAAACTAAACAAAAGAATAAATAGAAAAAATAAAAACCTTTAAGGTCTGGGAGTTTAGCTAAACTATGCAAATGGTTTCGAAATCCCTTCTCAGGATAGGTGCCTTTAATATCTTTCCTGTACATTTTCCAGTTTTCTTCCTCAGTATCATATATTCCCTGTTCTCAGCTTAGATTTACTTGTTTTTAATGTCTGCTACAGGCCGGCTTTCACTATTCAACAGTAAAAAGCTGAAAAGTAAAATCCTTACTAAACAATATTTCAGACCTACTCTGACTTTTCATTAACTCAGTATCTCTGCTTCCTAAGGCAAACACTGTTTCATCACTGCCTTCTCATCTACTTCCAGCCTCCTGCCAGTCATGTCTCTTCGGATTCTACAAGCCTGCACTTCAAACTATGCCTTCTATCGCCTCACAAGCATCACATGACCCCAATATATTGTCACTAGACGTACAGCACCTTCTTCTCCTCAACAGTCCCTGTATGGTTTTAAATGTTCATGTCTCCTTAGTTCCAGGCTCAATAAAAAAAACACACGAAATAGAAATAATGCAATGACTTTCTTTCGTGGCTCTGTCGCCTTCTTCCAAACAAGTCTGCGCTTTAGTTCCAATCTCCCCTCGAATCAGATATCATCTTCAATGGCTCAGACCAAGACTCCGTGCTTCATAAAGATACCAGTCTCCGACTGTCCAGATTGTACTTGCTTTTCTTCATAGAAGAAAAGGTAGCTGAACCTGCCCAGTTTCGCTCAGTCTGCAGCGTTCAGTTCTGGGTCAGGCCCTGTTGTGTCTTTTCAAAGATAGAGAGATAGAGAGACAGCTTCCCTGTCAAGCTGGAGATGGTCAACACAAAGGCGAAATAAAGGATGAAAGCTATTACTCCACAGCAGTGGCAATCTGGATTATACACTGGTAAGTGCAGAACATTTCACTTCATTGAAAATACTGTGTGAAAACTAAAGACTGTGATGTTAACTAACCACACCAATGGTGTGCTCTGCCAACTGCCAACAAAGTGTAACTGGGCTGACAATTGGAAACGCACCTTCTTGTAGCACACTGTATCACCCCAACCGCATCAAACCCAATACAAAATTCCTGATGAATCCTACAGAGCTAGAGTACCCTCTGCTTTTTATAAAAGTATACTGTTATCTTGCCTCCTTCCGTCATCCTCTCTCCCACTTGACAAAAATCCACTTCCTTCAAATCACCTGCTCTGTCCCTCATCCTACAACACTCTGCCCTTTCCAGAGGACACCGTATTCCTGAATCCTTACATCCCGAGACCAAGAGCAAAACAAACAGTATTTCCTAGTCTTTTTTCAGCTCAGCTTTTCTGCTGGTTGGATCAAAAAAAAAAAGAAAGGATGATAACTACTATATGAAAAATAAAACTATGAGCATTTACAATAACATTGCTTTAAAAAAAGGAATAACATTCATACCTGAACTTTTATATATGTTTCGGTACCCTTAATAGTAGCATTTTATGTAAACAATACTTATATGTGTATACATCTGCTTTTTTCCCATCTTCTATACAAAGCAAAGTTTCTCCCAGTTTTTCCTCTCTCATTTGTTTGGACAAGGCGATGATTCTTGTGACAGGACTGGCATCGTAAGGATCGCTGTCTCCCAGTGTAGGCCTTTTTGTTGGTTGGATGGATTCACTGCTGCCTCAACTACAGTCACACCTGCTTTGTGGTAACTGTCGTAGGTCTACCAAATTCAGATCGTCTGATTTCGTCGGTAGCATCCACAGAGACCTCGAAGTTGCTCTTGTCTGAAGAGACTTTTTGTTCTTTGTTTTACTGCAAGGACCATTTTTCCAAAAAGCCAAGTACTTGTAAACATGCCATTTTTGTTCACAAAAAGTTGCCAACTGTTAACAGCAATGGAAAATACACTAATGGAAAGTCTTCTGTGAAATGGCGGATGGCGGTTTTTGGATAACCCAGTGCCCCTGGTGGCAGCCGGGTAGGCAGGTGAGCAGGTGGGTGACCCCTCTTGACCTCAGGGTGACCTCTGCTGTGACCTCTGGCCAGCTCTGTCTCCCTGGGTCTCATAGCTGCAGCCTCAGATGGTTGATGTCCGATCCATACCATCTGCCAACAAATATAAACAAAAATGATATCAAAGCCCATTTCTGAATTTCAAAGGATGTTCCCATTAAAAAGCCATTATTTCTCACATACTTTGTGTTTTTTAGTTGAGGAGAAATGCGTTTTCTACCTAAAATCTGAAATCCTTTTGTTAAGATCTTGAAATTTTGAATGTGCTGGAGCTCACTTTTTCTGATGCTTTTCGATGGTAAATCTACTTTGTTAGAAAATAATTTAAAAATTGTTACCGAGATAGCTCCAGGAAGAAAACTTTATGTTTTGCTGGTCTTCCTGCCATTAGATCAGCACAGGGGTGTATTCCTGGCAGGCCCCATGCTCATACACTTAACTTTTCAGCTTTTCTATTCTAACTTCTACAATTACATTAGTTCAGATAAATTAAATAATTCAGATATTCAATATAAACTTTGCAAAGTGAATCGAGGTTTCTCTAATCAGTTCATTCCGTTTTTTGCCTTAACAGATGGCTGTCCTGGGTGTGCCAATTTTCTCTGACCAAACGGAGGAGGCTCAGGAAAAACCAGACCTGTAAACCAGATAAAGTAACAGATGTCTAAGTAAACCGAGTCAGTTTGCCTGCTTTCTTTCAAAAGAAGGTGTGTATCAGGGTACTGAAGAAATCTGAAAATAACTCTGGAGCTTGTTGCAGCCGCCGGAAGAGCAATATTCAAATATCCTGCGTGCTTATTCCACACTTAGGTCTGTGCTGGACCTGTAAACCATGTAAATACCTTGGTCTTCATGAATCTGATTGGTTCATCATGTTCAGGTCCCTCTGACAATCACATCACTATGTTGTGAGCAATCTTCCTGTTCGACTAAACTTGTAAAGTCTGGAGTACAAGGCAGTGAGTGAGGATTCAGTGTTTTTATCCCGTTGAGATAAAGACCAGTTTCAAGATCAACTGCTGGATCATCTGGGTGCTTAAGTCTTCTGCCGTTACAGCAATCTGTGAGCTCTCTCCCACCATCACTGGTTTTTACAAGCTGCTACTGCTGAACCATCGAATGTTCCAGCAGAATGCTCATCTTCTCCAGGTCAGGAGAATCAAACTCCTTCAGTTTCTTAGTTAAGTACAGAGCAGCAGCAGAATTCTTTTGCTACATCCATGCCATCTTGGATTGATCACAGAAACAAACAAAACCAAGTAAGAACGTGGTGGCTAACACAATAAATATTACCATATGCCAAGACAGAAAAAGACCACAGTACAGCACATGCTAAATTGATAAAGAATGCACAATTTATTTCTCACACACATTTGCCAAACGTTCACCAGCATGTAATTCAAGCAGAAAAATGGGCAACAGTTACTTTACAAGCGATTTTGTCAAAGGGACAGGAGGCAGATATTCCATAGTGAAGAAATTTAAGTAAAATATGTAACTCCTATAGATTAAAAAAATCTATTATCGTATATAGAATGTAAAACAAAAAGGAATGGTCTAAAAATCAACCTTAGGGGAACCTGCAGACATTTACCAATAATCAGACCCTTTCAGTCCCCCCCATGCTACCCACCCCCTTCAAAAAAAAAATAAAAGGGTGAATATTTTTTAAAGGCTGCAATGGAAAAGTCAGAGAGAGCAGGCCACGCTTCCTGTGTGGAGCTGGCCTGGGGGGAGTATCTGGGGATGGCAGCTTGTACACCCGTGGCACACAAACACTGCCCAGTTTGTTTGAATCAGCCAGCGGCAAGACACATGGGCTTGCCGAGCCGCATTCCTGAGCGCGCCGCAGCCGGGCCTGCTCACTCACTGCTCTCACAAAGCCCTGCTTGTCAGGCCGCTGGGCACAGAACTAAGGATCACTGTCTGCTCCACTCCAGGCCAGAAACGGGCCTTTATTGAACGGAACAGGAAAATGAACAGTGAAGCTGTTGCCTGCTGCCTTTTTTTTTTGTTTAAAAATACAGTTTAATCACAACACAAGAGTAAACAAATGGGCTAAAAATAATAGGATTTTTCTTTCCTTGACAATTTTGAAAATGAGGAATATTACTTTTAGCAGCTGTGGTGTGATTTAGGATTAATAAGGATGGAATCCAAAGTATTCTAAAATGGTATACTGTACTAACCTATAAGTATTGGACAAAAAATGGAGACAGCTGGTTAAATGAGGGAAGCCAAGTATACCAAAAGCAAGGGCTTTCACAGAGGTATGGCTCATGTATTAAGAAAATAACACCCCTTCGTGCCAGCACAGGCCTAGAAATAAGGCTAGCAAGGGAGATAGATTGTTAGGGTGTGTTTGACAGGAAATTCAGTGACCAAGACAGCTCAATTTGCTAATGTTTGACAAACAATAGTGTCAGTATGGGACTATGAGTGAAAGACATCAGTAGCAAAGGGCAACAGCAGGCAGAAATGCACACTCCAGGATGGTGATATCTGTGCATTTATTCGGCAAGTAGCTATGACTGCCAAGAGCTTCAGAAAGAGGGATACCACAGTCAAGTTGCAGTGCAAAAACCACCCATTGTACCTCGCAAAGAACATTTGCAAATCCAATGTTGCAAAGAGCAAAGGCAATGGACTATAGAGCAGTACAGATATGATCAGAAGAATATTGCCTATGTGCTCCACAAACAGAAAAGGGCACGCCTTTCTACTTTTTGTTCTACTGTCCATAGATTTTTATTGTTCTGAATGGCACCATTTCCAAAAACCACAGAAAAAAAATCTATTAGCATTAAGAACCATTAGCATTATTTCAGTTTAACTTTCAAACATTGCCCCCATGTGGCAATATGTGTTATTGCAGTTGCAGTTGATTTTGATCATGACGATGTAATTAATTAAAACACCTCTTCTTTTTACATAAAAATGTCCATCTTAGCCATGACGACTATTTTTGCATTAAACATATTCTTGCAAGGACTTCTAAGTGACTTGTCCAGTAAAAACACTTAATCTGAATGCAGGTCAGACTATTTAGTTCCAGAATTGCTGGATGAAATCACCATCTGATTATAAAATGTGCTTTTCTAAGCATTACCAGAGAGAAACATCACTCCTCAATTAGTGATGGATATACTGCAGGGGACTGTGCACATAACTCATCAGTGGGTGTCTTACATGACAGCACACCCAATTTCTCTACTGTAAGAAGAAGCCAAGCTCATTACCAATTTTACATTCCAAATTCAGACATGAGGGGCAAAACTGAAAAACAAAACTGTCAATTAAAGACCACAAGTATATCACACAACATGATAACTGAAACCGTGAATCGTGATAATTGGATAATTGAATCTGATTTGTAACCAAAATCCTGTCTGACGTATGCATTAAAACCTCATTCAGATTTCTGAACATAGGACCTGTCCCTACATCCAACTACTTGCAGTTTGCTATAGAAATCCAAAATGTGGTGAACAGCTAAATCTCACTTCAGTTTTGGTTTTAGCCCATTCGATAATGTTCTTGAGGTTTCTTTCTGCATATTAAATGCTCCAAGGCAGTGCACAGGCAATAACAGAAATCAACGACTGCTTCTATTATCAGAGACCCAGGAATAAATAGAAGTATATGAAAAATGCACAAGATGAACAAATGTCAGTTCCCCCCCTCCAAAAAAAGCAGAAAGGACCAATGTATCATTGACTTCAAGACATCTCTTCCCATGAGCTGCTAAGCAAACAAAGCAAGATGTGTGATGTAAGAATGAATGCAACAGAAACGGCTCCTCACCTCCCAGAGCATGCTCCGTCATACTCAGGCACAGGGATTCTAGACGGTTGTTGATATCTGGCTCTGTCACTGGCACCTGGAACTCTGCAAACCCAAACCAAGTCATCGTTACATGAGTAACACTATTAAAGTGCTGTACACTAAAACAGTTGCCAGAAGAAACAAAGCAACAGGCAATTTACACATTCTGACATTTGCAGATGCCAGCTCTCCAGAAAGGTCAGCAAGTAAAATGAATATCAAGAAGAGCGCACACCTCACTTCACATCTAAAATAACCGTGTAGTCTCTGTAATCCTGAGTTTCATTAGAAAAGGCCTTGACGGACATAAATCCAACCTGTGTTAATACTTTTAAAATACACAAATGATGTATAATTGCACTTTTACTGATATATATATATATATTCATGTGCCATTCTATTTTTATTTCCTACTTATTCTCCATTTTTTCTAATCGCAAATCTGGGTTAAGGTCAAGAAGATGGAGAGAAACAGCTGTCAAAAGAACAAATGAACAACGTCAACCCCACTCTTACATTTAAGGCAATTCAACCAGCTGGGAGGGACTGAGCTTAATCTGTTACAAACGTGCAGAGTTAACAAATAATCTCAATGCCAGCACCTTCACAGCATTTCAAACACTCCAAAGATGGACGGCTCCACGGTGGTACAAACACTTTAGTCCACGTGAGCCACTATCAAAGTACAAAAGACTGGTTGGGTATACAAACAATACCTCATTAAAAACAGGAGATTGTCTTTCTAAGGCAGTTATTTGCCCCTTGAAACCCACCCTCATCACTTCACTAGGATGGCCATAAGCGGTCTTGACTTTAGCTGAGTCAACACAGACTGGGCTTTGAAAATCCCTTGTGGGGAGGGAGAGCTGAGTTAGTCACTCGCTAGCTGGACAGAACAGTCAACCTGCTATTTTTAGGCACCAAATCCTTCCAGTGATGTCTGTGCTTTAATCAATCCATTAATCTGACTAGCGTCAGAGGGGAGGAGAGGGAAAGAAGTCTGGGCTTGGCTATGGAATTGCATTTTCTGGCTGGGGGCCAGGACAGCCCCCTGACTGCGCGAGCTGTGTGTGCCTATCCAGCGCTGTCCATAGAGGGAGAGAAAGCAAGAGCACCACAGCTACAGTGCCCAGCACAAAGATGCTTATTGTGACCGGCTTGTACTCTCCTGCGCTCCCTCACCCTGCTGGGCACCCTTCCTTTCTTTTAGTGGCTTTCCTCACTCCTTGCTGATGTTGGGGTTTAGGTTATAGCAGAGGAAGCCCCGTCAACTCGGAAGAATTCATCTTTGCCGAGCGCGGAGAAAGCACTAAGGATGGCACAGGACGGGCACGACAGCACCTCATTACCCAAAGCGTTTTTTGGCAACACCTTCCCGATACGCGGACCAAATCGAGCACTCGCAAGTATGTAATGGCCAAAGTGTTATCAGCTGCCTCTGTCCATGACTCCTCTATGGCACCACTGCAGACTGCACCTGCATCGGCTCTTACCTGCCTGCTGGAACATGACCATTGTATGTGGCGTGGTGTGGACAGGCAGTGAGCGCGTTCTCTGGACGGAGCTGTGAGTCCTGCTGGGCATACTATTACTGCCCCCAGGGTTGGCAAACCACAGGCCCTAGAGGGATCAAACAAACTCCTGGTCAGGGGCAGTTTCCCCTTCAACAATACGAAGGTTTTAGTGACGGTTCTCTATACAGGTTTACACAGCTGGTGGACTGTTCCCACCACCGCTGACAAAACTTGATTTCAACAAAATCTTTTTTAATGAGTCACTGACTTCAATTGTCAGCTTTTAAAAAGTCCTGTGAATTGTGGAACCCCCCAAATTAAGCTATCTGAAGGACACTAAAATATGAGAATGAGTGACAGTTTATGTAGCACAGGATTTTCAAAGGACATCACTAGCGACTCTGTAATGGAAACAAATTACAGACCCTTCACACTTTAATCAATGATGCACTGCACTGAAAACTGCCCACTGTACACATACCTCTCACTCCTCCTCTCCTGATCCCTCCCTGTCCCTCTCTCCCCCTTTCCCGGCCCTTCTGTACACTGGGTGAGGAAAAACAGGAAATGCCTGTGCACTGTTCTCACCGACTTTTGACTGGCTCGCTCTCTCCCTCTCCTCCCCTCCCTTACTCGCGCATTCCCCTCCCTGTCCTGCTCTCACCTCCCTCTCCCATTCCCCTTTCATCCACCACTATTTCCTTCATTTCTCCCGCAGTGTGGCTATTTTTTACCCCCCCTTGCACATTCTTATTAATATTAAATTGTTAAACGGTTAACAAACATGTGCGCCTGCCTGAGTATCTTAAGAAGCTCTTCTGCCAACTCACTGTGATGCAGATGTGTTGGAATGTGGAATAAAACAATGCCTTAACAAGCAGACAGGGCTTTCAAAATTTGAATGGAATGTTTTTTAAAAAAAAATACAAAAGCCTTTAAAAAAATGTCTGAAGTAGGTTCCAGTTTTATTTTTTTAATGGCTCGGTAACAATGAGCAACTGGTCCTAATCTAAAATGATTCCCATTTAACAACGTTTATCACAGAAAGAGCTCAGAGGTACCAAATTCACTGACAGATGGAAGAAGTGTCACGCCTTGCTATTGACCAATTGCCGTAGGTTTTTAAAAAACTGTCTAAAAGATCATGTCACATTTAAGCCTATTTTACCAAGGAATAAAGTTACCCTTATTCTGAAATCAAGTAAATAATGTGAATTTTTAAACTTCATTCTGTAGAAGAAAATGAACAAATTGATATTCAAGATACCATCTCCAAGTGAAAGAAATGTTGCTTGAAAATCATACAGAACAAGTGTCAAAGTCTGATAAACTGGGTCATACCTGAGGAGTTTGCTGTGCCTTGTGTGACTGCTTGTGAAAGTTCATAGACTATAATAATAATTCTTTACACACATATAGTGCTCTTCTGGACACTGCACTCAAAGCACTCTACAGCTAAAATCTCTTCCAGCAGAAACCTTAGTTTTTCCCAGGAGGTCTCCCATCCAGGTACTGACCAGGCCCACACCTGCTGAGCTTCAGTGGGCTGCCAGTTGTGGGCTGCAGGTTAACTATCGTGTGATAGGAGTCCAGAGGCTCGAGCTCACCTGTCGGCCCTGCTTCAGGCTGGTGGGCGTGCTGCTGGCGCTGCGCTGAGCGGCTCCCAGGATGCCCGTGGTGCCCAGCAACCCGAGTCTTGCTCCAGGCAGACTCCGGGATGGCATCTGGAACTGGCGCGGGTTCCTCCGAGACGACACCCCTCCCCCGACACAGCCCGCCGTCGGTAGAGAGTTGGACTGGCCAAAACCACGACTGAAAACAAGAGACGGGACCGTCACACGCCACCTGGATCAGAACACGCAAGGTCTGTGGTGGCCAGATGCAGCGTTTTAAAGCCCATAGATGATTAAATTAAAACTCTTATACATGTTGTAATATTCCTATGAACAGTGGTGTTACACCTGAGGGAATCACAGGGAAATTTACTCAGTGCTTTTAGCATGAAGGACATTAAAAAAATAACACCAAACTAAAGCCGACTTCTGCTCATAAGGCACAGGTTTTGTGGCTAACAGCTGTGTACCTACTAGCAGTGAGGGGAATGAACATGCAAAGTGAAGGGCAACAGAGCAAAACGAGCACTGCGTAAGGGCAGAATTACTCTAAAAGGTGATCAATGGAAGACTTAAAAAGAATTGGACATCTGAGTCCTTCGCAACTAATAGTTGCGTAGTAGAGACTTGCATCAATGGCTTGCAGTTTGGAAGTAATGGATAAATAGAGCAAAGAACAGCTTGGTTTAAAAATAAAGGTTTGATTGGCCACATTTACCCTCTCTGCTGCCGATATCCTGCCATGTCCAAGAGGGATTTCCTTGGGAACGAACGGAACAGCTTCTGCACCTGCTGTTTCCATGACAACAGGCGCTTCTTCTGCGTCTCTGTGAAAGCCTGAGGAGGGGGGAGAGGGGGAGAGACGTGCAGGTCGGCATTTGCATTTCAGTTTTGTTCTACAGGTCCTTCAGATAGGGAGAATGCAAGTCGCATCAGATATACTGAAAATGACGTGAGGCTTTACTCTTATTATAGGCTCATATCACATTTTACAGAGGAGTCAAAACACATCTAAGAGAGGGTGACTTCTACGTGGGAAAGCTGCAAATTCCACACCACAGCAGAGGCAGGCAGCTGAAGTAAAAATAAAAATGCCCAAAATGATCATATTAAATGATTAAGTTGTAGTAAGTATGGCTAAAAATATTTAATTAAAGAGAAGTATATTTTCAAGGCTATAACATAAACGTAACAGGCCATACATTTAAAGGTCAATGAGCTGAATACGTATGTGATCTCTACAATACCAATGATGGTCGCACAAAACAGGCAAAGATTAAATTTGAGTGTTTAGAAGAATAATGACTAGGTACACTCTAGGGCACGAGAAGCAGACGTCAGATCCAAAATGTGTTTTCACCTCATGGATCAAACATTTGTCGATGAGCTGCAGGTAGGAGCTGATGTTCTCTTCGTCTGGTCTGGAGACGAGAAGCTGCGTGCAAACTGACGAGATAAAAAAAGGAAAAGCAGGCACCATCAGTGTCCATCTTGAGCTTGAGCACAGCGCCAGCACAGACAGGTTCATCCCGTGAAGACGCAAGGTCGCAGTTCAGTACCTTTGCCCATTACTCGAGTGAACTGTGCAGGGAGATCACCCTCGGCGATGACTGCGCCCCCCGATTCGGCCTCCCCCCCAGCCAGCTGAGAGGACGGGCAGCTCCCCTTCCCGTCAGAGCCCAGAAGGGGGCGCTGTCCCTGCTCCTCGCTGCTGCAGGCCTTGATGGGCGTGAGGATCATCTGGTGCAGCTCCTGCAGGGGCATACGCAGATTGCCCCCCTCCAGGACATCCTGGCACAGAGAAAGACGGAGCACAGTCAAGGACGAGCCCCAGCACGCACTACACAGACGAGAAAGCAAAGGGGACCGATCTGCCCAATATGATCGGCATGAATAGCTATGTCAAATCATGGCCCGGCTTAAAAGACTTCAACAACACTGGCTATCAGTAAAAAGCCTATAATTCACATATTCAAAGAAAGCTTTGTGATTTCACAAACGACTCTCTGTGCTGTCCTGTCTAGGACCATCATATGTTAAACCAAGATATGACAGTGTGTAGAAACATTGGCATTGGAAGGGAAGTGATGATATGAGTGGAGGCAAGATGGTCAATGACTGTCAGAGTAAGCTCTGTGCACTGACCTTCTCCAGAGATCGCAGCATATTCTGCCTCTCCTTCAGCTTCTGGATACTGATGACAATTTTGTGCCTTGCTCCTTTCGTGACGTTCTGCAGGGCAGAGGAGATCATGAGAAGTTAGGTTTCATACAGATAGAGAAGAATAGGGTACGGAAGAGAACTTGGAAGATCTAGCCTTCATACATAAGTACGTACACAGCTGCTAAAATGCAAGTTAAATGGCTTCTCGACTGCTTTCCCCTCCCATCCCAGGTTTCAGTGTGGTTAAATCCTCTTGGTGTCAGTGTTGGTTGTGACAGGACAGGTGCCAGAATGTGTTTTTTAGAATATTTTAGCTCACAGAAACAGGAAGGACATTTTCTTACAGCACAGTTAAGGCTTTTCTCCGCCAGATGCTTAATAAGAATATAAAGAGAAAAATGCATACAACTCATGCAATATGAATAATTTATGAAAATCTAGGGAATTTACTTTAATGCAATTAACATGTTTTTCACAGAGGTAAGCTAGTAGAAGTGTAGTCCCACAACCACCTTTTAGTTCTTTAGGGCAGAGTTCCTTTCCCATCCTGCATGCACCACAATAAAATTGAAATTCAGTGCCCATCTCTTTCTCCTTGGGACCAGGCGGCAAACTAATCCTAACTCCTGGCAGCATCAATGCCATGATCAAAACACCTGAGCCAGGCAGTCCCTGTTCTCTCCATTACTCATGCATCTGCAATGAAGGGGAGACTGACACTTTTTGAACCAGAGAGACACTACTCAGCTAGGGACTCCACTACTAGGCATTTCTCACCTGGGACTCCAGCTGCTGCTCAGTGAGGGACATCATCTCTTCGTAGGTCATTGTGGAGAAGAGAGCTGCGTACTTGTGAAGACGAAGACTCTTCAACCAGGCTGGTACATCTGTAGAAAGACCGGCCCAATCCATTCATTATGTCCCATTTCATACCTAACTGGAAATCTATACCTACACAATATTTTGCACTGTTTCTGCTTAGTTTTGTATTGGTCTTTGTAACAATGCTTTTCAAACAAAACTTTCCTTATGAAAAAGAACAAAAACTTATTTATAGTACTTTATACTTGGTTTGGGGTTGAAATCCAAAATGAAAAATGAAAGTGAGGACAGAAAATAAAACTTGAATATTTATAATCACATATGTTTTTTATCTTGAAACTTGAGGAGAAGAGTAATTATGTAAATCCTGCTCCTTGTAAAACACTGCAGATCAATATGCTGCATGTGTTTGGCCTTCGTTTAACCAATATGCAAGTGTTATTTAACCAGCAGCTGAGTGTATTTGCACGGAATTGAGACTGCTCTACAAATACTTGGCTAGACAGGTGCTGGTTAAACATCGGCAAAGACCTTGTCATTAATTACCGGTCTCTGTGTAACATTTCTTTTCCAGTTCAGTAATGAAAACCTCTGAAGATTCCATGTGAATGACGATACCAGCATTTTTCAGGCTAACCTGTTAACCTAATTACTCTGATTCTTAGTATCCTGGAAAGAATCTATTTTGTAATAGAGAACCTGAACAATTAAGACTTTCCAGTGGGTGCCTGCTACCTACTAAATAATGCAGAAACATTTGTTTTCATTGGTAGCCCCCGAAGGAATAGTTCAAACCGGAATTTTTATGCTACATTTTATTGTCTTTTCCTGATGTGCCTTCACCCATGAGCACACACTTTTGAACTGTTTCATTCAGACAGTGAAGGAGAAAAAAAATGCACTGTTAAATTTTCTTTGCTAAAATGCGAGTGCCAAGTGATGTAATATATGACAACTAAATATACTGTCTTATATTTCCACTTTTGTATTTAAAATACTCAAGGTTGTCATCTCATTACACCAAGGCACTTTCCTGCAATAGTAAGATGTGACATTTAACGAAGTAGACGCTGTCTGTAAAATGCAAAAATACATGAAAACAACACTGCAACCACTATTAATCCAACAGAGATCAGGGAGATGAAATAACTGATACTGCGATTGTGACTACACCAGCAGAGAGGGTACACATTGGGTGTCATAAAAAAGGAAAATAGTCTGTGTGATACATTAGATAATGAAGCTGAATAATCCATAATGCAAAAGAAAGAAATTTATCAAAAGAAAATTAATATAAGCATGATTACCTAAGATAAGATGTAGCACCACCAAATCCATATATATCCTTGGTAAGCTAAACTGAACTTTTATTTGTTTAATTATAAAAAATGAAAGCATACTTTTGGTATATGTTGCATAAATTAAAATGCAAAGAATTTAAAGACTTTCAGTATTGGATGAAACAAAAACTGCCCAGAATAATACCATATATTGCTTCTTGCATGAAGTATGGATTTATTCACACTCTGCAAAATAAATGCTATAACGTGAAATCCTCTCATGATTTTTGATTGTCAGGTAGTTTCACAAAGCCTTAGAAATGTCTGAAAGTCCACTGGATTACCACTAGCTTTAACAAAAAGCACAACACTCACTACCACATCATCATTGTCTGAAGATCTCCGATTAGCAATAAAGATAACTCTGGTGACAGCTGAAAGACACACCAGTCCTACTTTTGGTTGTGGTGTCAATCTCCAAGAGCTTCAGGGGTAAATGGGTGGTTGATACCCCAACAGGATGAGGAAATAAGGACATTGTAACCCAATGTGTGGCCAGAAAGGACTTGGGAGCCTAACACACACCCAAGATAACAACTGAGAATGTTCAAACACATGCTGACATTCAATGGATTCAATGTCTCCATGACTACCTTCCAGGCTGATCACACAAAAACTAGGGTCTGTGGCAGAGGTCCATGATGACAAAGGGAACAAAGACAATTTCGCCAGACTACCACCAAAAATCAAATGGGATTGCACTATATAGTCAGATGAAACAGAAACTGAGTTTTTGGATGGTCTCAACCATTATCTAGTACCAATTCTAGAAAGGTGAAGCTTTTGTTGATAAAGAATGTCATCAGTTTAAAAACCGAAATCTCATTTATGACTGTTTTGTGTCCTCTGGTCCTGGTAGATTCCTGTAATTAGATTAGATTCTTAATCTAATAATTAACAAATTAACTGATTCTATTAGGTCTCTCATATCAGGAAATCAAGTATATTAGGATACGTTATCTAAAAGCCTGGATCCTTTGTTAAGAAGCACAGGCTTGTTCGCAAATGGAGTTTTCAGCAGAACAATGACCAAAAGCACACCCCCAAATCTATTTCTAAATGCTTAAGGCAGCGCAAATATCAAAATTCTTGATCGGCCATCACTATATCCAGACCTTCATCTAATAAAAGGTTTGCGGTAAGAACTAAAGAAAGCGGTTCACAAGAAGACCGGAGGTGACCAACAATCACTACCTATCCAAAACTGTCAGCTATCCAAGACGATGAAGGGTCAACAAAATACCGATTGCTGTGGCGAGAATCATTTTGAACATTGCTTCTTTCGAACCATGTGCCATTATTTTAGACAGAATTGTTGTTTCTTCAACCAGCAGGGACAGACTTTTGATTTTTTGCACCGACAGAAGATCATTTTCATTTTCCCCATACACCTCCAATCCTCCAGCTAGGTCTGCGGTTTTCTGCTGAGAAAACCGGCTTTCCGTCTCCCTGCCTCTGCGCAGTGGAGAAGCGTGGAGCCAGACCGCGGTCTCCCTCGCTACCCTGTCTGTAGGGAGCCTGGCCCCGCCGTGCCAGCCGGGGCACCTGGGAGCTAGACTCACCCCTCATGCCGCTGCCCTCCTCGTGGAATGTGCTGCGGTGCGGCGTGGCGCTGAGGGCCGGTCCCTCCTCGAGGTGCTCGCTGCCCCCGCTGCCCGAGGAGGCCACGCTACTCTGGGGGGAGAGGGGCGCGTGATCGGGGGCCGGGGCCCGCGTGCGCAGGTCCTCCTGGGACAGCCAGCCGTGGCCGAGGGGCTGGCTCGCGGGGACGCTCATCGGGGGCGTGAGGGACACCGAGCGCTTCAGGGGGCTGTGCTGCCCGGCAGACAGGACTGCAAGACACACAAAAATACCGCACAGCCGCGAGAACCGTGAGCCGGGGGACTTGGAAGCGGACCTCATCCCGAGATGTATTCAACGCGCAAGTTGAACCGTCGGGTGGCACGATGCGCAGGCAAAGAAACAAAAGAGAGAAGGGGTTTAGCAACCTCTTGCTGGGCCTTTTACATTACAGCTGCAAAACAGGAAAGAAAAGGCGTGAGATGATTCGATTTGTGCTCCTGCTATTTCGCCCACACGTGCAGGTTATGTTTCTCTGTCTGGTCGCGAAACGTAAAAAAAAAAAAAAGGAGAAAAAAATGGAACAACGACCCAAACAAAAATAAGGGATGGTTCTATCATGTGCCAGCATTTTCTCACCCTGGTGTTCCTCATCCTCCTATATGAGGCAGTAACTCCTGGGGCTATGTATAGTTCTTCGCCGCTAGTCTAAAAAAGGGGCCCAGCTAACATTACAAGTTCCAGTCCCTAAATATTAGCCATTTTCCCTAAATACAGACTCCTCCACAAAGGATACCTTACATGGGAAGAGTGAGGTTGGCATGTGTAGCCCTACAGGCTCGACTTCGGACTGAGCCACGGAGACCTGAGCTCCACCTGTGGGCAGCACTCAATCACACTGAACAATCACCTTCCTTTCACCGCGACAGAACACCGCAAAGAAAAAAGGCAAAACAAAAAAAAAATGGTTGTGAAAGACAAAATTAACAGCTGTGCCAAACATTTCAGCTGCAGCTCAATGCTGGATCAGAACTGGTTTTCTTCCACACCGATTAATAACACAATGAAATATGAAAACCCAAGTTGCTCCATAGTCACTTGAAAGACACGGTCTTTGATCCCGAAATTTTTTTCCCTTCCCTTGATTTTCATGTGACTAATGTCTGATCAAGAGATGATCACAATCTTAAACAGTCTTTCCAACAACAGAATATAGGACAGAGCTGTTAGAGGATCAAGTACCTTTTATCATTTAATCCTATAGTGTGGATCCTAAGGTCTGAAATTCTTTAGGAAGAGGCCTTTACAAGACCTGTTGCATTCTTACAGTCCCTCAGTTGTAAAATAAATGGCTGCTCAATGAAAAACATGTAACAGAGATCAGGATCAATGACAACGGAATTCAAACATTACCAATATGTTAATACTAATCTATTAGCAGAAATTTATTTTTCCTGTTAAGGGTAGCTTCAAATCGACACCCATCCATCACAGGGTACACACACAAGCTAAATTCAGTCAGCAGGTAAGTTGAGAGGAAACTGGAGCACCCAGAAAAATCTTGCATGGACACGGGGAACATGCAGATTCAGAAGGCTCCTCATTCAGAACTGAGCCCAGGACCCCAAAAGCGGTAGTGTAGAGCAACATTACTGTGCTACCCAGTATTAATAAATCTTTGTAAATCTTTAAAAGTAATGCTTTTCAGCCCACAGCATTGTGTCCCAGGGACGCAAGACAGATGTACTGTCTGGAAATGGGAAAACAGAAAACAAAGGGTTCAGAGTTCTAAGTGAAGCAGGAGAGATGTGGGCAGGCTGCAGTATAAAGCGTTCATTCTGTTACCAGACTTCCTTTGAGTTGGTACATCTCAGAGGAAGTCCTGAAGATGTCATTCTGGGAAACGATGAAAGAAAGAAAATGCTCTTTGTGGAGTTACAATGAAATGTGTTTTTTCTTTCCTTTCTGAGACAAGGATGGGGGGGGGGGGGAATTACAGGATATTTAACTCCCACCCTTTGTAAGATAACTAAAAAAATTAAAGACAAACCGAAGCATGAGCTTGTGCAGTGGAAAGGGTGACAGCTTTCAAGGTGGCATTATTTATAACTTCAGCTGTCTTCTTCAGTGGAATAAAGCCCTTTGCATTCTTTGCTGAAAATATCCATCCCTAACCACAGATATGTTCAAATGCCGAATATTTTTGTAGCTTCTCCTTAGGCACTTACAGCATCGTATTACCAATGGTACTTAAGTAACTGCTTCTGGTGAATTTTCATTTTGCAGCTTGTCTGAACTTTATTTCCGGAATTCTCCTTTAAAACGACACGGTCATGAACTACTGACCGCTCCTTTTCAGAAAGCATGCTGGAAGAGTTGCGCTATCGCGAAACGCAAATCGCAGGCGTTTGTCGGAGAGGAAAGGCCGGAGCGCCAGTTGGTACTCACTGGTGTTGGTCCCGCTGCTGGTGCCGACGGTGTTGATGGTCGAGGGGACGGAGGAGGAGGAGTAGAGCATGAGATGCCCGTTCTCACAGCCCTGCTGGTGGTGCCAGCCCCCGCTGCCACCTCCGCCGCTGCCCAGGCTGGAGTCCCGGGGGCTCTGCCAGCCGTTCAGGCGGTCGTCCGAGCCGTAGCGCTGGTGGTGGGGGTAGAGGTGAGGGTGCTGGTGGTGGGGCGTGGGGGCGCGCTCCAGCGAGTCGCTGCCCCGGGCCGCCGCCCGCTCCTCCAGGTGATTGAGCCACAGAGCCAGGGCGGCCCGGTCCTCCAGGGAGGTGGCGGGGTGGATCAGCGCGTAGGACAGCAGCTGCCGGCTCTCCTCCAGGTGACGGCCGTGCTCGATGGTGTGGGCCAGGATCTTGGGCAGCAGGCGCATGTACTCGCCCTTGGCTTCAGCGTTCCCGGGCTTCAGCAGGGGCAAGTGGGTCAGCACCAGGGAAATGACCCGGTCCTTGGGCTCGCCTTGCCACTGGCTGATCGCGGCTGCAACACCAACAGAAAGAGTCAGTCAAGCAGGAGGAGGTCCCAGAGGTCCTCATTAAAGTCTAGGTGGTCTGGTTGTTAAGTTTCAAGACCCACTGTCGACTGAGGTCTCCAACTCACTATGGGCTAGGTTTAGCGAGTTATAACCTCCTGGTGTTCTGTTCTTCAGAGAAAACAATGATTCTGTCGTGAATGACTTAATTCTGGATAAATAGCTAAAGATTATCATCATAGTGTCTCCTCTTAATTGGTTAGGAGAGGAGGAGACCCCCTGTCAGCTCTTCAGTGCTGGCAGTAAACATCACAACTGCTTCTCTGAAATGTTCTCCAACCCTATTAAGCTGAGCTGTGAAACATATTCTTGGCGATGCTAATTATTGAAAAAACTCATGACCTAAGCCTGGTTGCTCAAACTAGATACTCCTTGAATATAAAACCATCAATAAAAGCTTACAGCCACACAAGGCAAAGACGAAAAGGAAGGGACGAGTCATTGTCATATTTCTACTTTAGTTAAAATAGCAGCCTAGCAAAGCAGAAAGTCTATAGATATCCAGGGTCATGTCGTCTATTGTTGCCCATTTGACAGAGATGCATGCCACAGGAACACTCATTCCAGTTAGGTTCTGCAAGGGCTATAGATACAACAGGTCATGGCATCTGAATTGTCTCTGGATGGCCCTCACTAAAATAGAGAATTTGTAATGAACAAGGATTACCATAAACTAAATGTATAAAAGTACACAAAAATCTTTTATTTCCACAGCTGACATAGATCCATTCATCCTAAACCTTGGATATCAGAAATATGTAAGAAATCTCAGAGCAGCCATTATAGGTTAGTGTATGTGTCAGCTTAATTTGTGTGTACCTACAAGTCATTACCATGGTTTAACTTAAATCTTAAATATTTAGCAGTTCATCTTGGCAGCAGAGCTGCACAGACCTCATCAGGGTACAGAGTGCTGCTTCGTGACAACTGAAAGGGCAAATAGAACAGGCGAGGAGGCAAAGCTAAAGGCTCCTTTTGTGCCATGTGGTCTAAGCCACAGACTCAACCCCGTGTGCTTTTCCAGAATCCCAGTTAGTCACTTCATCTCAAAATGAAACCTGCCGCATCACAAAAGTCCCTAGGGCTTGTTCTATTAAGATGCGATTTCAATATCTGCTTCGAACCATGTACTGCAAGTTACAACAAAGATTATCCATCAAGATCTGCTGTAAACTCACCAGCAGGCAGAAGAAATAAAATCCTGTACCTCCTAATTCTGAAACCAACAAAGCTCTTATGAACTTATGCGTAAAAACATTTTCAGGGACCAAAGAGATGCACTGTAGGGGACGTTTGTTGCCAGCAGAAAAACTGTCCGTTTATGTTTAACAAATTATCCTTGAATACCCATTTGGAGATGCTACTTTAAATGAAAGCTTATACATTTTCTGGGGCAACGGGTGACATGCGCTCATTCATGATGGTAATGAACATCACAAGGGACAGATATAATGTTGAGAAAAATGCAACACGAACAATAAAGCCATGTGCAGTAATTACAAGAACAGAGGTGTATTAGTGTATTAGTAAGGCCCTGGGAGTCTGCAGGAATGCACTTTGACTGTTCATAACCACAATCTGTTTTTGTGCGCCATGTCAGCCTGTCATGTAGTTATGTTCATTTGACATTCTAATATGCCACTTAGCTGAATCCCACTAGGCTGGTTACTTACAGGACTAGCTTTTTCGTGATATATTATAGTTTTTACTCTGAGCAGCACATGAGTAATTACATCAAAAGAACAATTCAAAGAAATTAAGTACACAGAAGAACAGGTCCATGTCAGGTTGAACTAATTATCAAATAAAAGATGCGACAGTACCTTTCTCGTGCCGAGATAGGTCAGGGAAAAGTTGTGGCCCTGAGCTGCGTGTCTTTTCTCTTGTAGAAAGAGCAAATGTCACCTAACTTGGACAGATAAGAGCAGGTACTTCTCGCATAATGGTGGTGTACTTCTGTTGGCCTTTTCTGGCACTTCCTTTTAGACTGCATGGTGAAAGTGCTCAGAGTTAGCTGGAACTGAACAGCTCCTGCACCGCCTAGTGGAGAACCTATTGTATGTAAATACTGAGTGCACTAAGTAGACGGAAGAAAGACTGCCATCTGTAATTCCACCATCACAGAGTCATAAGACTCGATTTCCAATTACAACATGATTTGATGATATGATCTTTGATTATATCAGGTGCTTTTTGGTCGTTTTGGGGGGAAAAAAGTGGCTTGTAAATGCAAAGTAAGTTTCTGCAATGTAAGCCTGTTTTGAAGTTTGAATGCCATTTACCAAATAATGTCCCATTTTGTATACAACATGCACGGATGGGAAAGGGTAAAATCCAAGTCCTTCCTGTCATGTGGAAGATATCAAGTTATGGAATATACACACACAGCAACAGAAGAGAAGACATGGCAATGTACCGACACCTCCTCAGTCTAAATCAGCACAAACCTAACATTCTGTCTTGTGACAACTAAAAATTAGACAGCCTACCGAATTTAAACTGCATTGTAAAAAGACTGAAATACAAAAATTAAGGAAGGAGAAAAACAAAAGACAAATTCTCCTTGGACAACACAAGACTCCAACCATGTGATATCCATTTCACCACTGCTGCCGTTCTGCTCATGACTGGGTTCTGCTGAATTTAGCTGGTAATCAAGTCCTCATGACCTCCAGTAACACCCTCCTCCTAAAATTAGAGCCATCAATTTGACTTGGCCTCTGTCCTGCCTTCCTCCATGCCCGCCCTCCCTCCCTCTCCAGCTGCTGGCACGGTCCCCCCTCGTTTCTTCCAAACTCCCTGGATCACGGAGTACACTGCTCCAGAGATGCTGCGTCTGCCTGCCGTCTTTTCTCCTTCCTCCGAGCTGCTCACAGTGACCGTGACACACAAACACACTTCCTCTCTGCTCCTCCCTGCTGACCTCCCTCCTCTCCCTGACTCCCTCCCTTCTTCCTTTACCAGCTCTCCTCCCTGGAGCCTGAAAAGAAATGGACAATTCAGACTTGCTCTTCAGTCATTCACTCTTTTCCTTTCCCCTCACCTCCACCACACGCATCACGAGGGAACTAAGAACTAAAGAAATGAAAATCTTCCATCTCTTTGAGCCAGGAGATCACGGTCTCTCTGATCTTCACAACACCTCAAGGCTTCTTTCAAAAACCCCATAAAAACACTCGACAGAAAAGCAATATAAATATTACCAGATTGCATTTCAATAAATCGTGGGTGTCTTACTTTCTTAACAGTCCCTTTTGGCTCTCCCATTCAACTGAAACCTTTTAAATGGTCTAATCCACTCGACTAATTTGTGATCATCATGCAGTTACAGCATGAGCAGAACCTACTACGCAACACAAAAGGAAGCAGGCAAAATGTTACTTAGTTTTCTTAGCCATTTATTCATATAGCTACTCTTAAAACCAAAGATGGAGCCTTCAGTTGTGAGAGGATCCTTGATACAGACCCGCAATAAGTCATGCCTGAAGGCAACAGTTACTGTTAACAGATTGTTTAGGCTGCAAAGCTGTAGACCTAGAAGTTAAGCACAAAGATGGGAGGGAAGAATTGTCATAACTTATAAAGAGTCATAAATGTTATGCAAGTTACAGAATATCCAGGAAAGACTGATGCTGATCACTGCTACCTCAACGTTTCTTTCAATATGAGTCACTCATACTAAGTCACACAACAATGTGAAGTATCAGCTGTGTCACAGGAGGAAAGTGTACTGGGCTGATTTCACCATTTCATTAATCAGGGCTTGCTTTAATATAATTACTGGGCTTTCACAAAACATATAAAACAGTAGTATTTAAACTTTTCCTCAATGTTGCTGTCTGGGATCACACCCTATAGAAAGGTCCCTTGATCTTCTTGCCCACAACCACACAGAGAAATAATGACGACTAAAGTAATTATAAAAAATAACTGTTCTCCATATGTATTACTCTACTAGTTATTTAAAAGTCAGAATTGTATAGGGTATAGAAGGGGGATGTCAGGGAACAGACATATTTGCTTGGAGGTGATCTAGGCTATAGGAAACAAAGACAATTGTAATGAAAATATTACACTCATTAGTCTAGTGGCCAGGTATTGTAGATCCTTGAGATTCTGAAACAATAAATACCAGACAAATGACACAGACAAAACCCATTAACAAGCATTCAAGATATTTCTCTCATAGTTAACACATAGCAAAAAAAATTATTTAGTGGGTAATACACAAGAATAAATGCTGGGAGATAAAGAGACCATAAATGTGCTACCAATGAAATCATGGCAATGTAATGGGAAATATTTAAGTTCATGAGATGTATCCCACTTGCCGTGAAGTGCTAACCTCATGCTACTCAAAAAGCTATGACACACTGGAGAGCTGATGAGGGAGAATGGAAACAGTGAGCCTGCTTTCAGAGCCTCTCGGTACTGAACAATTAGAGAGCCAAGTCTAAGGCAAAGTAGCAGACACAACAGACTGCACTGCGTATACAACAGCCGACTGTGACTCACTACAATTCTGCTCTGCCACAAAGTGATCATTTTTCCATATTTAACAGCACCCCTGTCTGAACTGCTTGCAGTGTTTCAAAGAGGTGAACGCTGGGAATCCATGAATCACTTTAGAAACAACAATTCTCCACTCCTCTTATACAAAGCCCAATACGTAGTAACCTCTGAAAGACATGACACAAACCACTAAGCATGTTGCTTTCACAGAAGCAAATCTTTCTAGCTTTCACTAGTTGGTCTTTCTTTTGCTGAAAATAGGCTGGTGTTTAGAAATATTACCCAAAGAGTAAACATCACTAAAAGCAGAGATGATAAGACAATGTATGCCATCCAGCCACACTCATTTCTCATCTAAAATCTACAATTGCTTGTAACTTTCATAATTATTTAGCCATCTCTTGGTTGACCACAGGGCTGCCCTCGTCTTCCCTGA